AGCAGTACTAATATCATAGTAGACCATAATTCTACAGGCTCACGGAAGTTAAGCCCAAAATCCTAGTGAAAACAACAGTATTAATCTTCGCGAATATATCCAACTCGTCCAACACAGACTCAGCCAATCATAAGACTATGGGAGCCACAACCAATGCTCATTCATCAATGAAGTTACCGACTGTTTCAAATACCTCAGTATCTATAAGCAGCAAGGAGCAGTTGGTGGGCGTTATTAAAAAACAGTAATATCATAGCTCTCAAAACGCTATAAATCGGGGACAAGGGTTTTGGGCAAAGCTGTATGATTCTGTTTGATGTTCTATTGTTGAAGAGTATATTATTAGAAACAAGGCCATCCTCTGATAAGAAAAGTAGTGTAAATACTGTACAATGATGTGTAAAAGTGCCACTTCAACCAAGCTATACCGCCTGTATGAGGACCGAAGAACAACGAAAGATAAACGCCCTCCATTACAGGTAACCTTGGATTCAGTACACATTACTCGAGGAATTTTACTAACATCCAGGAGATAATGGGTTAGGCGATCCTCTCAAATCCGAGTTAAACAGGACAAACCATGGGCCGTAAGAGATAGAACTAAATGGTCAGTAAACACCCAAGAGCGAAACGGCACAGTAGTTAACGGATTTCCTGAGCTAGTAGGTGGTAGTCAGAACGAAACTCACGGATAAGATACGCATCAACGATATTGGCCTAAATGATGCCCCTCAAGCGTGGTACAACTCGAAGTATAACCTCTCTGATCGCACCAAATATTGTAGGGGCCAACCTGTGCCGGTAAGGAAGCATTAGAAAGAACGAAGAAAATGCACCTTGGTGTCGGATGGCCATGATCAACAACCCACAGTAAGGGACACAGGTACATCTATTCAGCTGAGGAGATACATCATACTGGCAAAATGCCTACAGCTTCCTGTTCCCATAGAACTAGGCATCCCACTTTGTATAACAGTCTACTTAGAAACCATGGGACAGATGCTACTAGAGAAGGTTAAGAGGTGATGAGACGAATCAACAAGTACCTCCATAGCAACGTTAGAGGATCAGTGAGTAAACTGGGATAAATAAGAATTAACAGCCACTTGAAGCCTGTAACAACTCGAAGTGCAAAATCAACCTAGGTGACAGTGTAGAATTATAACCAAGTCTATGTTAGTACATTTATCCCTACTTACTTACTTACTTACTTACTTACACCTGTTGCTCCTAATGGAGCATAGGCCGCAAACCAGCATTCTCCAACCCACTCTGTCCTGGGCCTTCTTTTCTAGTTCCATTTAATTCTTGTTCATTTTTCTCATGTCTTTTTCCGTTTCCCGGCGTAATGTGTTCTTTGGTCTTCCTCTCCTCCTTTAGCCTTCAGGATTCCATGTGAGGGCTTGTCTTGTGACGCAGTTGGGTGCTTTCCTCAATGTGTGTCCTATCCACTTCCAGCGCTTCCTCCTGATTTCTTCCTCCGCTGGGATCTGGTTTGTTCTCTCCCACAGTACGTTGTTGCTAACAGTGTCCGGCCAACGGATCTGAAGTATTTTCCGTAGACAACTGTTAATAAACACCCGTATTTTCTGGATAATGGCTTTCGTAGTTCTCCAGGTTTCCGCCCCATACAGTAGAACTGTCTTGACATTTGTATTGAAAATCCTGACCTTGTTGTTGGTTGACAGTTGCTTTGAGTTCCAGATGTTCCTCAGTTGTAAATATGCTGCTCTTGCTTTGCCGATCCGCGCCCTCACATCTGCACATCTATCCTTGCTACTATAATAATATACCTTATCCCGGAATTATTGATGTGTCATGGCCGAGACACCATTTCGGCTGATTTTTGCCGCGTCCACCATTGTCGGCCTTTTCTTAGTGTTACATGCAGAATGTAACTCTCCACAGTAATTATACGCTCGGTTTCAAAGATCATGTTGTTGGGAATCAATACCACTACAACAGAATCATGACGGTGTTGCTTCAATGAAGATGGCACAATATATTTCATTGAAGGAACATATCGGTCCTCCATCAGGCACTAAGGCTTAAAGGGATGTGAGAATGCAGGTGGTACTAAGCCTAACGAACAAAGGGTTTAACCAAATGATACTAATTAGAGAACTCAACACTCCTTTCCTAAGTCTCAGAAAGCAGAGTATGATACACTGTGATTTTGTTCTCAGCTTGTCATACGCCCTAAAAGTATCAGACTAAGTGAACAAGGTGACGCTATGAGATACGGAAGAGGAAAAACAACTCTAAATTTGACTAGTTATTAACAAAAGATCAGCTTCTTATAGGAGACGTCCGTGCCCGTGATCGAATAAGGAACCGTGACACTGCATAGTCATAACTGACATGATCTGAAATGAAGAACGTCAAATTAACGGGAATGGTCTCTACTTTACATCCGCCGGAACAGACTGTACAGCCATTCCGGGGCAGCCTACACTGCCCGTATGGCCACAAGACTGGTTATTTAAAAGTAAATGACTACCGGAAGGCAATGAAGTATATCATTCATGAAGCTATCAAGAGCAACGTACCTTGAGCAAATACACTCTTGGAAGGAAAAGACAATGTGTTAAGCGGAACGCAAAACGCCGGCTGTAATCTAAAAAACAGCCTGGTACAAATGGAAAGTCCTCCTAATGGATTCTGAACGTAGCTATCACATGACACTGAGAAACAAGCGCTACATCAAGATTTGAAACAGTATCAATTTTTTTCAGGCCAAGCTAGCAGCCGAAATACAATCTAACCCTTAATGTCTCCACGGATTTCTAAGACCTACAAACCAGGAGACCTTTGCTATTAAAGAACCAAACAGTGACTCAACCAACTTCCCCAACTTACTAAACTAGTGGACTACATGGGCAGAACACTCCTCAACTCTAGTGTCATTTGATTGCCTAGTCAAAGTATCCCATTTTAGCACTAAAGAGACCGGGAAGTTCACCAGGCTGTGACAACGTCCTCCGTATGATCGTGGAACAGTCTGTGGGACCCATTGGCACACTGCTATGTGACCTGCTCAGCCACTCACCACTGTTACACCAACTGTCGGGTGATTGGAAACAGACTACTCTCACTAATATTCAAGGTTGAGATATAAAAGATACAGCCTGTTGCAGACCGATGATATCAATCCCAAAGCTGTCGAAGGTAATGGAAGTAATGATCAACGAACAAATGACGGAATACGTGGACAAAAACAACATTCCCAACGGAGACCAGCATAGGTTTAAGAAAAACAGATTCTGTGAGTTCAACCTCATTATAGCATGGAACGGCTGGACGGCCTACTGGCACTAAAATATACAGGTCCACATAATACTACTTGACTTTCCGAAAGCCTTCCTCAGTTTCTCCACCTGGTGAAGGTTGCAAAGATGAATTTTACTGTTCCAGTTTTACGTTGGTTCCAGAACAACCTACTGGATAGGTTCTTTTGTACCCTGGCATCAGGATTTCGACAGTGACAGTCTTAGATCCACTTATTTCCCTGATCTTTTAAGATGGTCTGTTAGATAAGATTAGATCGACGAAAACACTCTATGCAAACTATGCAAATATCTGGATGTTCATAAAAGGCAAATTGGATTCACTTGAGCTTCAAAAGAGCCTTACAACAATTGAGGAATGAGCAATAAACAATGGATTAGAACTTAACCTGTCTGGATGTTATATCATGAACATTCTAACTCATTGGACACAAAGCATTTATGGCTTCCATGGAAATTCGCTCCCGATTGTCTCCTCAGTAAGCGGCCTCTAGCTTGTAGTCACAGAAAGCTTAGACACCAGCTCAGAAAACACAGGGAATGCAGATAAAGAAATGGAACTCCCCTCTTTATGAGAAAATAACTAAGCACAATCACCTCAGAGTTGTTCCTGACATCTTTTAACATACAGCTCCACCTTGAAGTCTGAAATATTTTCGCACTTCCGCTCTTCAAAAGATACATAAATCTCTTAGATCACGCACATGGACGGGCAGTCGGGTGAGTGATATGTCTCAGGAGTAAAACGTTTACGTCCGTACGGAAATATTGTGCCGCCTTCACCCATTTGTTGAATGCATATAGGTTTGCAAATCTCTCTCCATTTTCGTTTATCTCTCCAGGCCCATGTCGTCCCACAATATCTTCATATCCGGTGTTGTCTATCCCGACTTTGGCGTTAAGATCTCCCATCAGAATGGTGAGGTTCTTTCTTGGGCACCTCCCTATGATAAATTTTCGCCTCTCATAGAACTGATCTTTGCAGTCGTCAATGCTATCATCGGTGGATGCATAACACTGGATAACATTCATTGTGATCTCCTTCTTCTTTGTTTTGAATGATGCTTTGATGATTCTGGATCCGTGAGATTGTCATCCTATAAGTGCATTCCATGCTTTTTTGGTCAGCATCAGAGCAACTCCCTGAGTGTGTGAAGCATTTTTCTCTTCGTGACGGGAATACAGAAGCATCTCTTCTGGACCTATCCTTTTCTATCGAGCTTCGGTGCAACGTGTTCCACTGATTCCAGGAATTAGTTGTATCTCCTAATTTTTGTAGCACGTAGGTTGGTCCTACCGGTCTTTCTTATTGTGCGGACGTTTCATGTACCCATGAAAATTTTTGCTCCGGTTTCTAGAAAGGGCATCGGCCTGATGATTTGAGGAGAATCTCGTCTTTTAGCCTGAGGCGTCCTAATTCTTCCTTAAACTCTAAAAGCAGAGTTTAAATGTTATGATTTAGTTGATCTGGTTGGCGTTTTTAAAAAGATTTTTTCCATGAGATGGGGTTGCAGAATTCCTTTTCACCCCCCGAACCCGGGCTTGAAGAGCTACAGGCAGAGTTAAAGACTTCAACACTTCAGATTATCCTCTTTGGGCTGTGTGAAAAGAAAAAGTGACCTGATAATGGTATAGAACATTCCAAGCACACCGCGACTTTCCAATATGGAGCATCCTAAGAGAGTAAATCAATTGGTTTATGTAAGTCTGTGACTGAGGAATTGGTTACCGGATTGTAGTAGCGGTGATTTTAAGTTTTGGCGTTGCGATGGTTTGTTCTCAGTTTGTATCATGGGTAGTTAATTGAATTGTGGCTAAACTTACTTTTTGTATCTCCAATTGGTCACTTATAGCTTTTTATTTTATCGTTATTCTACTTATAATTATCACGGATTCCGACTTAGTTGCTCAATCTATTTCTTTCTATTGATCCGATCTACTTGGCGTTTTTTATAGACTAGAAGTGACTTTTTTCTGTATCTCGATGGTACTACAATATAAAAAGTCAATTTCATTTTATATCCTCGTGATCGCTGTCTCCATAAAACTGGAAAATATTTTAACGTTTTTCCTACTGAAATACTCCCGTTTTGGAAAACTTCCAGATGTCTTCCAAATTTTTATTCCTCAGATCTTCGTCCTATTTTGTGTTGATCTTCTCGTAGTTATGGTATTAATTGCACACCGGTCGCTGCCAAATTTAACAACTGATAATCTTGGTACAATCATTTATTAGGTGTCTTGATGATGCTCAAAGTTAAACCCACGAATTTGCAACTGTACTGCATCAAGATGTCTTAGAATAACATCTGTCACACGTAAAGTTCATCTCTCTGCGTTACGCTTGTCAGTTTTTGGTTCTTTCGCCCCTAAATTATTTTCGAAAGAATGCGATAGCTCATGCTAGATTGTATTCGTTCAAGTTGGTACATTCTAAAATGACGTTATCAAAAAAGTAAACAGTGTTACCAAAGCTAGAAAAAACCAATAGGGGGAGTGTGGCGTGTTGATCGGTCAATTACTTGTTTTTTATTCAAAATAAAGGTTGATGTAGACGCACCATAGTTTTTTTTAACATCACTAAACTGTAGCCAGTGAGTTGATAGCATTTCAGATAGGTCTGACAAACATTCAATAAATTGAAGGAATAACTTAACACATTCATCTAACATTTTGTAAGGGTCGAAAAACCAGTCATGGACATCGTTGGAACTGACACTAGTATGCTTCGATCCAGTTTGATACACCACATAACACATCAATAGAGAAAATCAACATGATAAAATATGGAGTAGAATCCATATTAATTGCAGTGAACAAATGATGAGAGAACGAAAAGTTCATTTCTTTTCAGCTAACATAGGGCATCCTCCTAGGCAGCAGTTTATTGTATATGATATGTGTCTCAGTTATCTCAATGTTTCTCAACATGTTAAGTGATTTATTTCCCCTGTTTAAATTCACATGTTTGATATTTCATCGCTGTTGGCTTTTGAATAAATAAATAAGACAGGCAAATCTAAGGTCTTACAAGATGTCTTTTTTGATCATTTATAAATTATAGAGTTCCTTTTTGCGAGAGTACCTAAATGGAAACTGAATTTTTTGACAGTTTTCTGTTCTTTTTTGAAGCTGTGCTGTATCTCATAAGCACCTTTTTTTCTACTTCGTAGGATGACTCTCGCAACTTTTTACTGGACTAGTTTAGCTGTCAAAGATGATGAATATTCCTAAAAAAGTCAATATAATTGGTAATTACTAACTGTTAAATATTGTTCATTCTACTTGTTGTTGTCAGATCTTTTTAACTGGTATTTTCACGCGGTAATTCAATCCTTTGTGTTAAATGTGTGGTCATTTTTGCAATTTTGCAAATTTAATATAAAACTATGTTACCCACTGTGTTATTGTATTTTAAACTGATTGTCTTGGAAGTGTTTCTTCATAAACCATTTTGTATTCAGTGATATGTTTCGAACCATAGAAAGATGTCTGGATACACGGAGCTATTATCGCATTTTTTGAGTTCATGTGAAGTTTTATACTGTCGTTTGCCTGTTCATAGCCTGTAAACCTTATGATTTCATTTTCCTCGCTGCCAAAGTGAACAACTTCATTGTTGTTCTATAGTCTGGATTGGTATTGGAAATAATTAAATTTATCCGATAAAATACTATATTTTATATAGTTTTTCACCATTCAGAAATTTCTGAACTAGTATTTCGAAAAATTTATTGACATCATAGTTGGAAGTTCAGCTTATTACTTGTAGATATTATCAGTGGTTTATTCATTTATTCATAATTACGTTTTGTTTAATATTAATTTTATGCGTGATAAAAAGTTTTACGAGTCTCGTGTAGCTCGTTTTGTACGTTCACGTTTCCATTCAATAATCAGTTGGTAGTGGCCAGTCTTTCTCCCTCCTAGTATTTGCTCAGTGTAAATACCATCAGTTGTTCGGTTGACTGAATGAAGTAAATTCTGTAACTAACGATTTGTTTGATCAGTCACCTCATTCAGGAGTTCGTATAAATTTTTATCAGTCAAATGATCAAACATTGGAACCACAATAACTCATGTTTTTCAAAAAATATTCTGTAATTCTTATTTGAGCTAGTCTCTAACTGTACGTCAACATGACAATTAAGATAATAGTTATCTACAAAATCATTGATCACACTATTTAGCTGTGTGTAAGCACTCGCCTTGTAACCAATATGAAGATGGATTATTTTACTTTTTCTACATCACGTACCGGTAAATGTCACCGATGAATGAACATGAATGATTTTTAGACATTTTCTGAAGTTGTGTTTACTTATTTTTATTGTTGTGCCCATAGTTTGGGTGGTAAACCTACGAAAGTGGTTCGTATTATATGGTTACAACGCCTGCCCTCACCCAAACGTTTCCATTCAGAAATGGGCACAACTATTTACACATGATGAGTTGAAGAAGTATTGTGGCAAAGTATCTAGTATTTAGTCAAAAATCAGTAACCGTAATTTACTAGGTATGAAGGTTGAATGTTGACGTAACAACTGGGTTCTCGACTCGGTATCCAAATGCAAATTTTCATACTCAAATTTAAGTCACTTTTTTATGTGACTACTAGTGATACTATTCAAGACAAGGCAATGTAAAAGAGATTAAGCCATTGACACAAACACCTTCGCTAACAATAAGAATGCGATACTGTCCACTCAAACATTAAACTGTAACCATAATTTTCTATACTGGGACAATTGCAATCTCTGTCTAGTGGTGAATAAAACTCATTTAGGTTGGTTTACTAGTCTACGACTTACATCTTCCTATAACATCTCGAAGGACAAGAGAAATGTGACGTTTGGCACTGAATACTAAGACCCTCACATATACCCCTATTTCTTATATTTACATAGTGAATGGAGATCAGAATAACGGTCTAACCATTAAAATCATGGAGTAGATTCAGTTTTTATCTGTATACTTCAGTTTATTTTCATAAATTAGGTTCTAGGCTTTTTCTACTCAAAGCTTGGATGTAAATTCACTAGTATTTATGTATTACTCCACACTTCTTGTTAATCAGTGAACTTGTTTACATCTGTTTTGTAGTACAGCGTGGGGAAAATTTGGAATACACTTCGTCACTTAAAAAAGGTATGTTTGGATATGTTGTTGGTGAATACATTTGTCTGACCGGATAAAAAATACAATTATTACTACGTAATTAAAGAATCGATTGTGGTGACAAATGTTTTGCATGAATGATAACCTGTTAGCTTAAACACTCAGCTTTGAATTAATAGACCACAGGTTCAAACCTCATTTAGTCTTCTATTTAAACAACTGAGTAGCATCGTTCAGTTGTGATCGAAAACTTGAGTAATAGACTTATACTTGGCAAATGAGCTGATAGATTTGTAGGTAATAATTAAATAATTTGAAACTGAGGTTTCATCAATTAGCATATTCTTTTATATGACTCGACTTCAATGTTATGTTTTAAAGTTCAAGACGTTTAATGATATTTAAAGTTTTTTCATTATTTTAAAAAAAAAACATATCACATGAACATTAGCATTATATTGACAATGACTAAAATCCCTTAGTCCAATAACCTAAATTGTATACTCGATTGTTTCTAGAATAATTACTTCTGATAAGCAGCTGTTGCCTATATTGTCTTCCTATATGTAGTATGTCTGGTATAGAATGATAAGTAGTATCAAACTTGTCAGTTAATATGTTATAGACAGTCAAGTGCTCGTGGCAAGTCCTAGTGATTTTGTACTCACTTTTATGGCCCACTGATATGACTCCAATTTGATTGACCGATGTTAACCAACTACACATGTCATCAACCCTCGTATATAATTATTGACCTAATTCGCGTTAGAGAATAACGGGATAAAATAAGTCGAATATGATCATGAATTTCGGATATGTATATGTCATACATTCGTTGATCCAGACAGACTGTCTATCAGCATACTGTTTACAAGTGGCCATCTTAACTTTGAACCTTAATACTGTGCTTACACCATTAAAATCACTAGAGCTTACTGTCAAGTATTTCTGAAATGTGAATCGACTTGGATCTTCACATCAATTAGGTATAAAGTCAAATCGGTAATCCGATTTGGATTTTGTATGTTTATTCTAGAGGTACAGAAAATGTCCTAGATAAAGGATTCTTCGATACCTTAGGTACCATTGTGGTGTGTGTTACTGGTGTCGACAGATATAAGTAGTATGTATCACCAATCGAAAGTGAAATGCCTGACGACACTAGGTTAAAAAGATCGAATAAAAGAACGAGAACAGAGAATGATTGGTGTGGAAACGAATGCACAATGAAGTCTGAGACGATTGATTGACATTTTGTAAATGAAATATTTACTGTATGATTCTCAGATTTTACCAAGATATTCTGTAATTTTGAATTTAAATACATTTGGTTGTCCCCACTTGTGTTCTCGTTCACTACACCATAACCAAAAGTCAGTGACATTGACGCAGATGGGCTCAATATTTAACTTCCCCTAAATCGTAAGCCTATTATTATTATCACATACTTCTCATTCTTCGAACCTTATTTGCCCTTTTGAAACTAGGCTTCTCGTTTTCTAGTTTTCTACCCCTGTTCATATTTTATATTATTCCCCGTTCTGCTTTCTATATGGCTAGTTTCCTATCACCGTGCTAATGTGGAGTTTGGCAGCTTAAATAAATAAACAGTAGCCTTAGGTACTTCCTTTTAATTTCTGTTTGAGATTGTTATAAATCAGACTAATTTCTCCCTAAGTACCGATCTCTGTTTTGCAGCTAATACAAAATAAATATTATTGTGATATACTCCAGAACCCAAATAGTGGGGCTTTATCACTGAATTGTTAATGACTCACGTTGTTAACGCATTATAAAAATAATTAGCCTACTAGTAATGTAACAGTTTGAAAAAATATCTAGTTACTGGTTATATGATCACCAGTTGGCAACAAGGAGATTGTTAGTTTGAAAAGATTGTTGCATTTCTAATAAGTTGACGTAAAACATTTATCGTAATACATATGTTATGCATTTAAACCTACATGTGATCCTTTAACAACATCATCTGACTTTTCATCTGTCATTATTGTCGTCATCATCATGACAATAAAGGCTTATTGTTATTATCATTAATATTTCTTGAGCCAATTTTTGATTATCAAATTTTACCTTTGCATTGTATGATAATAATTTTGCAGTTTTACAATATACACTTATTATTATCCAATGTAATATTGCTTCAAAATAGCCTCTAAAAGTCGTCGATGGCGCGTTATATTTTTGGGTGGAGAGGTTAAATTAGCCTCAGAGTATGTTGATGCAGAAGATGGTCGTCCAATATGGGATTGTGAAGTAACATTGTAAGTGAAATTCTAAACTAATAAATATTACAGTTCTTATGTAATCACCTTTTTAAAATCTTTATCTAGTTAATTTAGTGGTTTTTCAAAGATATCCCCAACAAATTTGTTAGACTGTTAAATGTTGAATTGTGTGTGTATATGTTCAAAAAGAATTCACTTCCCAACTGCTTTAATAATCAAAGTTGTATAAACTATAAAATGATAGTCGATAAGTTTTACATTTGACATAGAACTGTGAAATAATTGTCCAACAGAATTCGTATCACTGGTCTTGATTTAAAAGGAGAAAACTTACATGATTTCGACTCTTTTACTATTCACCTTATTAATTTCATCTCGTGCTAATGTGATATGGTAACTTGGGTTAACACACGTTTGTTTCTGACTTTATTTTACTTATGAATGACGGTTTAGTCAGTTGGCTTGTGTAAAAACTGATATCCTCTACTTCTCGTTCTTTGTTATTAGGACAGTACTTTCATTTTTCATCCTTTAACATTGGAATTTTAATGTTTTTTGATTCAGAGTCCATACTGTTGTAAGGGTAAATATATATATTTTTTGAAATAAATGACTTAGTAGGCACTCAACATTGTTATTGACTTCTTTGGTTTTAACTGATCTAACTAAGCTAAGGGTTCTCAGTTCACTATCCTAGTTATTTTTCGGCGCCGTTCACTTAAGACATTTCTTTCAATTCTAAAAGTTGGCTCATGTCCACCTAATTTATGTGCGACCAAACATATCATCGGTCCTGATCATTATAGTTTTCTTCGTCATTATATGTGAAAGTAACGTGCTTTTCGTGAGTAAAACCTGAAAAGAGGGATTTCAAGGGGATTTTTAACACTTCGTTACGTGTTACATACTCTGTATCATACCGTAGCTAAATGTGCCATACTAGGTTTATTGTGATTAAGCTATAGAATCTGAGAATGTTTTGTTGGACAAGATATTGAAAACATGATCCTATGCAGGTTACGTGAAGTAAGTGCTACGTCAGTAGGCTCCTGAAAATGTTAGGTTCCGGTAATTCAAGATGCTAAGTACTATATTCTCGATCATAGGTCACATGACGATTGTTTAGCAGTTTACCCTTTTTCCAAAAATGTCTTATGAAATAGTTATTCTAGTGTGTATAAACGTAATGAATGAAACCTCAGCAAGTTTAAGCTATACAGAAATTAGTTATTTCGCATATACGTAAGCTGTAAGTATGGTATATATTTACAAAAGATGTAACAAGGTACAATTTTTAATGATGCGATTGTCGTTCTGTTTTTGTAGACAAGTAGTAAATGGTGTATTATTGTACGTTAATATCTCTTTTCATGCTTTTGTGTTGTCTTTTCTTAAATAGAGATTTGATTAGTCCATCAGATCCAGTTACTTTACTTGTTGTCGATGGAGATAATCATCATATCGGTCAAGTTGATATCCCCTTAAATCAAGTTCCCCAAACTGGCAATCCAAATTTCGACTTATCACGGTTATGTTATTCTGATTTAAAAGCGAAGCGAAAAAATTCTAATGCACATGGACGTTTAGTTTATTGGATTTGGGCTATTGACTATTGGCCTCCAGGAACTCAAGCTAATACTGTACATCATTCTAAATCACTACGTGGTTCACTTACAAATCTTAGTTCGAAAATACGTTCAAAGTAAGATATGTGTTCTGTTTATTCATTATTTACGCCAACTATCATTATAGATATTTGTCTGCGTTAGACTGAATGAAAATGTGAAGAGTAATAATAGTTGAGCTTCATCTATTTGACTGTCAAGTATGATTTGTTCATTATTATGTACAATTATTGTAACATGTATACGTGCGTGATATTAATTGCTTATTATTAAAAAACCATCGAACGACTTATTAGTTTCTATGCTCATTGGATAGTGTGAACGAGCTGTATTTTAGTCGAAGGAGTACCACGTATCACGAATTGATCGAAGTTGTAATTTGTCGTATGGGCCCCAATCTGCTGGTTCTAGTGGTTAAACATCCGCTTCGAAACCAGAAGGTCCCAGGTTCAGTCCCGATGGGGATCGTATGTGCACACTTCTGATGAGCCATATATTAAGACGAAACGTCTTTCCAAACGCTCTCTATTTCTTTAGTGGCACCTCAAATGATATGAACGTTTAACGACAGTTACCATATTTGTTTATACTATATATATCGTTTTCAGTTTATTAGGCCTAGGAATTTCTGCCGATAAAACGAAAAAAAAAATTAAGTATTATTATTATTATTATTTTATTACCACGTATCACGAATTGATCGAAGTTGTAATTTGTCGTATGGGCCCCAATCTGCTGGTTCTAGTGGTTAAACATCCGCTTCGAAACCAGAAGGTCCCAGGTTCAGTCCCGATGGGGATCGTATGTGCACACTTCTGATGAGCCATATATTAAGACGAAACGTCTTTCCAAACGCTCTCTATTTCTTTAATGGCACCTCAAATGATATGAACGTTTAACGACAGTTACCATATTTGTTTATACTATATATATCGTTTTCAGTTTATTAGGCCTAGGAATTTCTGCCGATAAAACGAAAAAAATATTAAGTATACATTATTTTTATTCAACTAGTATTCACTTTGGACATTTGTGTTTGTTAGCTTACTACTAGGTGATGTATTATTATTTATTTATTTATTTGAGCACATAAATATTGGTACAAAAGGGCACCAAATACATATGCGCCACACAAAACAGTGAGAATTTGAAGAGAAGAAGGAAAAAAAAGTAAGGAGCGTAGAAAAAAACAATAACGTACAGGTTAGTGTAAGGTAGTGTAATAATAATAATGGGGGAAACGAAAAGGTACAATCAGAAGAAATCTTTCAGGTAAGGAGACACAACCACTTTTTATGAAGAAAGTAAAAGAAGGTTACAGCAGGATCGCCACTGGCTTCTATTCTGAGCCATATCTGATAACGTCTCTAGCCACTGTGTAGCACCATCTCTCGGACCCCAACCAGGGAGTCGTGAAGGACCAACACAAGCCAGTCCTTTGCAGCTTTCTTTCATGCCACGACACCATGTCATGCACTGACCACCTCTCCGCTTCTTCCAACCAGTCCCAGAGTCGGCAAATAATGCACGACGTGGAATTCTCTGGGACGACATTCGGAGAACATGTCCAAGCCACCGAAGTCGGTGTTTCAAGATGGTGACACCAATTGATTATCATCTCTGTGCCCGAACACACGATGCCGAACCTCTGCATTACTGACATGGTGTTGCCACTGAATGTCAGCAATCCTTCGGAGACAGCGATGATCGAACACAGAGAGTCGTCTAACGTCCTCAACTCGGAGAGGCCAGGTTTCACAAGCATAGAGCAAAACTGCTCTCACCGACGCGTTGTAGATCCGACCTTTTACAGCCAGACTAACATCACGAAGGCGCCAAAGGTGGCCCAGATTGGCATAAGCCGCTCTGGCTTTCACTATTCGTGCATTGATCTCATCACTCACACCCCCACCAGCACTTATGCAGCTACCCAGATACACGAACTTCTCAACTACGTCTATCTGCTCACCATCCAGGGTGAGTACAGGATTAGAATCCTGCCAGTCTTGTAGAAGTACTTTGCACTTCGAAGGTGCAAAGCACATACCATACCTACGGACACTGATTGCCAACTGATTAAGTGCGGATTGCATGCCTTGGGCATTATCGCACAGTAAGACAATATCGTCCGCATACTCAAGGTCGAGAAGTCTTTCTCCAGGCAACAGATCCACACCACCATTACTTACATTCATCAGAGCTGTTTCCAGAATGTCATCGATGGCAAAGTTGAAGAGGAATGGTGAGATTGGGCAACCCTGCCTAACCCCACTGCTCGAATGGAACAATGGAGAGAGGTGGTTGTATGCCCTCACTCTGCCTGAGGTGTTTTTATATAGGGCTTTTAGGATGTTAATAAACTTCTCAGGCACACCCTTCTTCAATAGACAATCCCAGAGAACAGTCCTGTCCAACGAATCGAAGGCAGCCCTGATGTCAAGAAACACTACGATTGTTGGCCTTTGAAAGTATGGCGGTGTTCTAACATTTGGCGGAGGGTGAAGATATGATCAATACATCCTCGACCAGAACGAAACCCAGCCTGCTCCTCGCGAGTCAATCTTTCTCGGGTTTTGAACAACCTACGAAGTATGACGGAAGCCAATAGCTTGGACGCAATCGGAAGTAGACTTATCCCCCGATAGTTGTTACAGGAACGACGTGAACCCTTTTTAAAGATAGGGACAACTATCGACTCATTCCATGACGTTGGTACACTCTCTAGTTCCCAAACCTTTGTAAACAACGTCGTCAATTCCTTAGTCAAAAAGTCACCACCATCTTTAAAAAGAGCCGGAGGTAAGTCATCTGGGCCAGGTGATTTGTAACGCTTCAAGAGTTGGAGTTCCTTGCGGACTTCCTCCTCGTTTGGTGGATCAGTCGTCACCGGCCATGGAGGGCAGGACAGTCTGACCGATGTTGCCGGAGCAGCAGGCCAGTTGAACTGCCCTTCGAAAAATTCTGCCCATCGTCCAAGACGTCGATGGATGTTAGTGATTGGCATCCCATCATCCTCGCAGATTGTTTCACTCACACCAGACTTCTTGCTGCCAGTGGCTCGGATGAGTTGGAAGAGCTTCCGGTAGTTACCAGATGCAGCTGCTGCTTCCAGCTCATTAGCACGCTCCGACCACCAGGCTTCTCGGTCCTTACGCAAGCTTTGCCCAATTTCCTTACGTAACATCCTTCGTTTATGGTCAAACTCACGGTCACCCGGAGTAGACCGACGGGCTTCAATGAGTTGTAAGGAACCAGAAGAAACCCAGTGCTTAAAGCGGGACGTTTCGCAAACCCACAACTGACTGTTCCCGCCATTTTCATGGCGTCATGCAATTGCAACCAATGCTCATCTATACTTTTCGGTGGAGTGGTAGCTAGCCTAGAGGCTAGCTCGGTTCGATACTTACTTGCAACAGAAGTTGCAACCAGCTTGCTAACATCAATCCGTTGATGGCGGTCACTTCGTTGTCCACTGAAAAGTAAGGCAAGATTGGCGCAGACCAAGGCATGGTCAGAGTCCAGATAGGTACTCCAAAAGGAGCGGCAGTCTTGTACACAACCACGCCAGCGGTAGCTGATCGCGATGTGATCAATCTGAGTCCAGGCTTGAGATGCAGAGGGAGGACGCCAGGTGGCACATCGGCGATGACTGTGCCGAAAGTTAGTGCTAGCCAGAAACAGGTTGTGGTCTGTGCAAAGTTGCAGTAGACGGTCCCCGTTATCTGACCTGCGACCAACGAGTCCCCATCGGCCACCTAAACGACTCTCTTCTGTGCCTAGACGCCCGACCTGAGCATTCAAGTCTCCGGCTAGTACTACAATATCTGTCGAACGCACTTTCTGGAGAAGAACAGATAACTGGTGGTAAAACTCATCCTTGATTGCATCCGGGCTGCAATCTGTCGGGGCATAGGCGGAGATGACGAAAAGACATCGTTTCTCACGCCGATTTCTTCTCACTTTGATGGAACTTTCTAATCTAACAGCACATAACCGACTGTTAATGGGGATCCAATCGACTAGTGCTGCCTCAGCTCTAGCGCTTAGTGCGACACCAACGCCAGCAAGACCAGACGAAGATGCCACAGGGTCCCCGGATAAGCGCACGTAAAACAAGCTTTTCGAAGCGACAGATGGAGATCGAATTTGTAGTACTTCGCCAGAGTCTTGAATACGGGTCTCGGATAGACAACAAACATCGATATTAAGACTTTCCAAAGACATAGCCAGCCCTATCTGTTGTCCGACCTGCATAAATGTGCGAACGTTGAAGGCAGCCAGTTTGAATGGTGCACGTGGTTTCAGAAAAACTGCTTCAGTACTCGTATTCGGTGGTAGCGTACAATTTTCAGTCAGGCAGTGACACGAGAACGTTAGATAGAGCCGAATTTCTATAGGCGAGCTGCTGTATAAGTCGAAAAATAAGGATAGACAGAGTGGGAATAAAAGAGTGAATAAATGACGTAGTAAATAATAATAATAATAATAATAATAATAATAATAATAATAATAATAATAACAATGATAATAATGTGAATCATTTGATTGTTAATCGCAGCAAGAAGAGTATTTTCCATAAATATAGACAGTTCATCATAACTGTGTGTGGGCTGTGATACTACCCGGATGCCCAGACCAAAGCAGTTGGTTTTCTTAGGGAGAAGGGCCACACCCCGAGCCTTTAACATAAAGGTCTAACCCACAAAGCAGTGAAGCATCGTGAGGAAATGCAGTCCCATGGTAACCGGTGACCAAAAATTAGTTCATACGCCACTTGTTCCCGCAGGATACTGGAGCCCATGTGCACCATTAGATGTATTATTATGATGATTTCGGTTGAGTTTATTAAGATTAATTTAATTTTTAGGTGGTATTTGGCGCAAATTGACAACAGTTTTGATACTGTTGTAAACTAGAGAGTACTGAATTAGTGTTTTGTTGTATTATGAAATTTATTGACAGTTCTCAGTCCTTACACTGTTAATAATTGAGCTCAGAACTTTAACGTCTTGTGCGCTGCCTTTAGACGACCACTGAGTAGAAATCCAGTATTTTTATTTACTATTATCGTATTTTCATTTTTCGGATAACAGTATAGAATGATATTGTTTAACTGTAGTTTACTATAATTTTCTTTATTAATTAGATCTAAGCATAGATCCAAAAATGATAATGAGTATACTAATGGTTATCAAAAAAGGGAAATTAATGGTTCATCGGCTACTTTACAAGTACCCGGTATGTCATATAATCCATTTGAAAATGATGGTACTCTAAGTGAATTCAGTGGACCAATGGGTTTACCACCAATGTATCAATCACATTCAAATAGTCCATATGCTCAATCAGAATTTGGTGGATCACTTGCAGGCAGTATAAAATCAAGTAAGAAATTGCTTATGGTTAGGAAATATTTTTTGTTTATAAATCAATGTATAAATGTATGGTAGTTTATTTGAAATATATCTTAATTAGTTAACAAATACTTCGTGTTATGTGGTAAATACTTTTCTTCAGTTTATGAGGAGGATTTTACTTGTTCTTTGTTGTGTTTACAGGGTTCAATAGTTTAATTATAAAGTTTGTAGACAACATTATCAGGATGTACTTTAGGATTGGATAAATTAGATTTTTTTTCACAGCTCATTGTGTGGATAGAAAATTCTTCTGGATTAACGTCAATAATTGTATTGTCACTGTCTGAAGGTAATCAACAAAAAGTCCCTAGACCTAGATTTTGTCGTAGATAGCACTCAGCACAACATGTTCTTCGTAAGGCTTTTGAGCATATTTCACCCAGTATTGTATAAATAGCTTTTCCTTACGATTTATTCAGGCTACAATTAAGCTTCTGTAGAACTAAGATACGTTTTTCCATCAAGTATTCACTGAACACACTAACCAGCGTTGTTTTATGTAATTTTCAGTATTAATCGAATACAATCGATCAGCTTTTTGATAATTACTCAATGACCTGAGTGTCAAGTTTCCAAAATACTCTCTTGTCTTTGTGTGTGTAGAGAGAGAGAGAGAGTAGCTAACAAGTTTTTTTGGCAAATTTTTCATTTCGTGAATAATTATTTTACATACTCTTGATTTATACACCAATCTCAAGTTCGTTAAACTAATTGTTGTTTGTGTGTGTGTGTGTGTGAACTGAAATTTAGATATGCATATCGTTATTTTGTTTCTGTGTAGTAGCCCAAGCAATATTCTATTTAATTTGTTTCATGTATTTAAAATTAAAAGTATGTCCATCAGTACGTTTTCAAAAATGTTTTTTCTCTCAGGCAAATGAAATGAATTTTAGACATTTCCTTTATCTGCGTTTTTTGCCACACCCTGTTTTAACATAAATTCAGTCTTTGTACTTTAATCTCACTTAATTAGTATGGCATATATATAATTGAGATTATAAACCAACCGAAGTCAAAGAACCATTGAGAACCAGAAAGCACTGGAAAACTATTTCGTCATAGTATGGGACTTCTCAAGAGTTCGCATCTTTAACCCTATCGGGGATCGTAACCGGGACTGCCATCTCACGTGGCGAACGCGTGACGTTTAGAACACTAACTTCGCATCCAGTCATTTGAGGGATATTACTCATCCGTATTTATGCATGTGTTCGTTAACAAATTGATTGTTTCTATTTTATTGTGTAAACGTACATTTCATCAGTAGTCTTCTGTTGGTTTTATAGTGATCCCACTATATGATGATTAGATAGTTTAAATTACTGAAAACTGCCACTTCATTAGTTGTCAATATTTGTAATCCATTGATTACAAACATTGAGGTGAATATTTACTATAACTAGTCAAGTGATTCACCTGGGAAGTTGTATAAGCCAGAGTTTCATCAACTAAATGCATCCGCTTACCTAAAAAGTTAAGAGCGATACATTGTTTAGTGGTTAAAGCACATGAACGATTTGGTCATAGATTCTAATTTCGCTCCACTTTGGTTTGGGAAATTGGTTAGTATCACTAGCTCATGTACGAACATTGTAGCTGATACATGTACATTCAGTTGACGGGTCCCAAATATGTCGAAATGTGATTCTAACCTTAGCCAAAAGGTGTGACCTGTGCTCAGTAAATGAGTTTAGTTTTCAAGACCTGAGGATAGATTATTCTACCTTTCAAAAATTGTGTCATCATTAAATGAATAAGATGGATCTTTTTGAATATTTGACGTAGTCCGTAGCCAGTTATTTTTAGTGCTGTGGATAGAGTTTAAATAAAGGCGGTTGTTTGATCACTGAGTGTGTTGTTTGCCTAGTGTTGATCGAGTTCCATCGACGAGGTTGGGCTATGGCCACTAGTCAAAGTGACTCGATATCGCGCGCACCGCGTTGAGATGTAGGGTAGTTGGATGTAGTTGATAGAAACCGCGGACGTAAGTCTCTTAATATTTGACACTTTTCAGTAAGGTTTACCTATATTCTTATGGGAACTGGTATTCCATGAAGAATTGGATCCCATGTCATCCAGTTTAACGAATGAAATTGTAAGTGTTAACTCATGGTAATTAAATTATGTTTTCAATGTCATTGACTTTCATTCTGAGCTGTGTTAGGAAACATTGGGAAGCATTACACGAAAATTGTTTACAGTAGCACCTCCATCTTTCTGTTAAAGTTGAACTGAATATCGTTTCGTATTCTTCACATTTCCTGATTTTATTCGTTTCTGTTAAAATGTAGTTTGTATTTAGCTAAACACTACCAGTGGGATTATTATTTTCATTCTATTTTCTACTTAGTTTCCTGTCATTGTGTTAATCTAGTGTCGAGAATTAAACGGATACAGTTAGTCAGTAACAACGTGGAAATTCGTACGTACGTACATCACTAAACGGAACAGTAAGGACTCGGAAAGATAGGGACACTCGTCGTTGCCTCTTCGTAGTCGCTGTCTACTCTCCTACTGACTGCAGCTCAGACGATGTAAAAGACGAGTTTTACAGAAAGCTTTCCGACCTCCGAAAAGCTAGGCGCTCTGATGCAGTAATAGTGGTTGGTGACTTTAATGCTCAAGTAGGTAAACTCTAAGAGGAAGGGAAAGACACCTGGGTGGATCTCGCGGCTCAAAGAACAGATAATGACAACCGTTTGTTGCGGATTTTATGCTGTTTATTTCTGTCTGTATCATGTCTCATATTATTCTAATCAGTTCACTAATTAAGTGATAGAAGTGACTTTCGTTTTACTTAAATGAACACATAGATGAGTTATGCTTTAAATTTTGTACGTAACTAGAGACCCATTCAGTAGTATTCAACTGCGCAATGTGTTGTTATTGTTATTGTAATAAATATCGACTTTCAACTTCATTACCATAAATTCTATAAATTAGCATACATTTGTCTTATTAATCGAATATACACTAGTTTTATGCATAAAAAAAACGTTTTTTCCTTATTTAAATTGATCACGATAGTTGTTTTTTTAAAAGCTTGTTTACGGCAATGTTTACTTACAAATTGTTTACATATAGTATGTATCCATTTTTAAGCATAATGTTTTCTTAATTATAAAAAATGTGTATTTCAATTCATGTCTTGTCCTTTTCTATTTATGTCTAGGATCTACTGTGATTTACTGTTATTTTGTGTGTGTATAACTTTCTATATTTGGTCCTGGTTATTTGATTGATTATGTAACAGTCAATTCTTTTTTTTTTATTATAGCACATAAATTATAGTAAGAGTAGGTCATCAAAACAATGCACCACACATATATTTAGTGATTACATTCATTTTACAACTTCTCTGTCATCTTTTCTCTTGATTATCTATAAATAAATAAAAAAGATCGTTAGTAATGTAGCCAAATGTAGATGTTCGGTGCTTGATTACGGCTAATATGGCATACGACTTTGGCCCTTGAACGTGTAGAACCCTCAAGTCGCAAATATAATGAAATCATGCCAAGTCGATATTTTAAAAATCCTGTCGGGCTGTGACTGAGAGGAATTTTTTTCGGATTCTTTAGAACCTTTGAAGCTTTAATCACTCTTTCTAGGAGCTGTCCCAACACCAAGAAAGTTTGCTTTTATTTAAAGATGATAACTTGTTGTTCATGAAGAATGTAATTAGGAATTACAGCAGGATCGTCAGTGGATAGTTGGACAATTTGTATGACCTCAATCTGGGTGTCGTGGTGAACTGAATGACTTTCCAATAAACTGATTCATCATTCCTTGTCTCAGCTTGCTCACGTTCTGTACTGATGTTAGTTACTGGTTGTTTCTAGTGCACATACATATATGCACTGTAATGCTTTTTATTTTATGTATGCTACCATATCATATTCACACTTTCAGAAATGGTTTCAACTCTTAACTTCTAATAAAACGGAGCGGCACGTTTAAATTTTGGTCCTAAATTTTCATAAAAATATTGGTTACTTCTCGGTCTCATGTATTTTGTTATCTGTGAGCTCTACCAAGTGCATTCATTCTGATGGTATCTTGTTCATTATCAGCGTACCTGAAAATTGATGTATTTGTTCACACATTTGGTTTATATATTTCCCATAAATTTCTCTCATGAAACTAACTGTAATCAGTCTGTACATAATAATGCTACGACGTTCTGCCTTTAATGGTTTAACATTTAGTCTGAAGCTACCTTGTCTGGTAGTAGGGGTAGTGTGATGAGGAGCACCGTGTGTGAGAGGATCTGAAAGGGAAGAGAACAAGAAAAAAGTGAACTAATAACTCAGTAAGCACGCACAGTACACTTCAGTTCAATAATGAGAACAATCGGTAACAGTTAGAAATAACACATGCGTGAGATTACGGAAATGTAGCAGTCGAAACCAGAAGTTGACGGTGTAAGTTTTTGAATGCTGAAACAAGACTTCTATGTCGGTGCAATAAAGAAAACATAACTCTAGAAGCAGATTGATTTATTCACCGGTCATTAATTAGACGATATCCAGAATAATAATGATAATAGTGATAATAATAATAATAATAATAATAAATTACATATCATTTTAAATGTTTTTACCAATCAATGAGTTAGAATAAGTAGAGCTAGCTGTTAATCAACAATCTGATGTGTGGATATTATTTGCGTACCCAATAAATCAACTGACTTAATTGAGAAACATAACACTGAATTGTGAATTTGTTTTCTTCTTGACAAATGCCAATAATTATTGGTGAATTGTTACTAGCAGTGGAATCCAGAACCCGCGATTCTTCCTATTTGGGACTGATCAGCTGAATGTACCTATATCCCAGTGTTGATTTCGTACCGGGAATCGAATTATTGGATGCTGGTCCAGTGGATTAGAGGATTGGACTCAATATCAGAAGTTCATAGTTCCATCCCATAATAAGGTGCGATAGCTGTTCAGAGGAGTTCCTGGTTTTAAGTGGTGGTCTAGCTAATATCAGTTCGTGAATTAAACTAAAGAAATGGATGCGCGTTAGTCGCTTATTATCTATCTATTTGACTGTCGATAGCACTGAAACGATGTTTATTTGAAGGGATGTTTAGTGTGCTATTGTTACTGTGAGCAAAAAATCAATGCGTAACATTAGTTTGTTATTCTTCAGGAGGTTTATTTGTTTGCACGTGGTGATTTCAAATTAGTAAGATAGCAAAAATTAGTTTCATTCTAAATCATGAACTTCCATAGACTAACAACAATTTATTCTTTCAAACCTACTATGTATAAACGTTTTTTGTTTAATGAATTCACTAAAAAAGTGAGATTGGTACTTTCTGGTTTGTGAATCAGATAATCATTACTATAATTAGAGGTTATAATTATGAAGTATGTTAAAATTCGTTAAAGGTTTTGTATTCCATACATTTTTAACTAGTCACTTTAGAAAAGGGTTTGTAGAACATTATCATACCACACCTCTGATTTACCTTACACTACTTGTATTACCGATTATATGATAAATCCCTCCCTCCAAATATTAGTTGGGTGATAAAGTTGGAAATTTAGAACTCAGTACTGTGATATATGTATACATGAACCTATTTTTATGTCTGGTGGTTTTGTTTTTGATATCTGTTCTTTTGGAACAGGGAAGGTTGAGTCATTATTCCGCTCTGATGAATCGTTACCACTCGGTGACATCATATTATCATGTCCATATATCAATCAGAATTCTATTGAAATCTTAACCCATAGTATTCATATTAACTGTCTGAATAATATTTTATGTTTTCATAATCAGATAAATGTGATAGTTATTACTTTTTGACTTGAATGACAGTTTTCAGTACTTAGACTTAATGTAATAAAATTTTTTTTACCTGAGTTATTCACAGATTCTGTCTTTCATTCTATTTAACGTGTTAAACTGTAAAGTTAATGAATTTTCTTCTTCCTGATGAAGATAGATGGTGGATAAGTTAAGAATGTCCTTTTTGTTCACTTTTCTTAACGATTTTTTCGGTTTCATTCTGTAGCTGATGTGTCCCGACTGGGACGAAGTGCACTTTTGAATTTCCACTGTTAGTTACAATCCATCTTTAATAAGAAATAATGGCTAAATAGTTATGTCAATAGTCATTTGGATTCCTTGATGTCAGCAATGGGAATATACATTTATTCAAAAATGGATCCTTTCTGTTTGAATATATTAAAAGTAGAGATATTTAGAGCAAACTGTAGTCAAATATAGATGATTACTTTCAACTTAACTTACTGTTATGTCCCGACAAGGATAATGAATGATAACTTTTGGGATCCATTTATGGACCAATACTAAACACATATTTCTATTGTATAATTATTAAGTAACTAAACTATGCATATTCATATTCCTCTTATTATAAGCTTTATTTTGACCCATAAACTATTATTATACGTTTCATCATTTTTAAGTTATACCCAGTATACTAATTACTACCTCCCTCATTCACAGCCACATCTGGCTAATTCTTGTACAAATGTTGTTTCGTATTTCATTGGTACGTTGTGGTCTGTTTGATCGGTATATAAACTCAGTATGTTTGAAATATAATGATTCATATCTCAGAGGCTCGGATTAGTGTTCTGGACTTAACTGGCTGGGCTAGGTGAAGAACAGGACCAATCAAGACTCTAGGCTGCTCGCACGTGTTTTTCGCGTCATTGATCCGATCGATAAGTCACTGCTCTCTAATCGACGGTCACAAGATATAATACTTACTATTTGTCTTTTTCAGATATTATAGTCGATCACTTGAGTGAATAATTTTGTTAAAAACGTAACAACATTAAATCGACATAGAATGTATGCGCTTATGTATACCTTATTTCAGAGTTAATTTGTTATACTGCATTCAATATTACCTTTCATTTCATGGTACTGTTTTAGAAAAAAGCAGTTTTCTTTACGAACTGAAGTTGAAAAACAACCTAGTGCTGAATAGCTGTTTTCTTTTTCATTCAGAACCCTTCTCTATTACTTAACCATTACACCAGGATTTTCAAACATCGTGGCAATACATAGTACTATAAAATTAATAAAAGGAAATTAAATTTTGCACATCTGTTTTCAGCCGGTTTACAATCCTCGTTTATTATTGTTACTATTATAAGGCCCCAAAATGCCCTGATTACGGCCCAGGGTGAGTGTCAGCTGTCCCTCTTGAAACGCTCTCACAAGGCTACGCGTATACAGCCACTGTCACGGAAGTCCTACTCACTGCCTTCTCATAATGGAGCTGTTGTTCACGAAATCGCTCCATTGCCTTGTGGATTAAGCCTCTAGTTTAAAGGCTCTACGAGTGTCCCCTTAAGGAAACTACGTACTTTGGTTTGGGCTCTTGGACCGTATTCCACCCCCCCATACATATCGAGTGATTTGTGTGGCGCATATATATTTGATGCCTCCTTGTACCAGTGTTTATGTGTTCTCTCTTTTCTCAAACAATTATTTCGTAGATCATGTGTAATATGATCGGTATTTTAGTAAATATCAGTTTGTTTAAAATTAATCAATTCTTATTTTTACTATTTTTTGTTAGTTTATTAAGTCTGGGCTCGATTGATTTATTCTTTCATAACCATGATGTCTTAAGGCTCTTTTTTAAGCTTATCGTTCAAATATTCGGTTCATATATCAATCACGAGGAATATAGCGTTTATCGAGTTACACAATCTAATCAATGGTTCGTCTAAATACATTATATTTCTATACATTTTCTCATTTGTAGTGAGTTCACTGAGAGATATTCACTCACTATTTCCTTCATTTTCTAATGTAAGAACGTCTATAAATGTTTTTTCTTCTGTAATAGCTAAACAAAAAAATATGTTGAAGAAATTTAAATCGAAACTTTCGCATAGTACACTTAATTTGGCTGAAGCTGCAGCTAAAAAAGCTGCTGGGAAAGATCCTTACTTTCAAAGTCTTGAAAAAGGGTAAGTAGATTGATGGTTCCATTCGCATACTTCCTTTTTTATTATTGGTAAACTGTTTCGATGTTGTTTATTAAAGTTTTTCACACAAATGTGAATAATCGTTATAAGAGAATTATAGTAAATAGTTTTAATTCGTATTAATCATTTCTTATCAAGCGATAATTTAGTATTTAAATTACTCTTGACTTTCTGTCCTAACTTGATTTTGACTATCCAATTCGAAAATGTCAACACAGCAGGATTTAAGGGTAATGCAAAGATGACACCAGTAAGTCAATTCGTTCAGTTACTCTTTAGCACTATGCCCCTTTTCCCCTAATACTGTTAACACAATCCTCAACTATATTGCGAAGATCATAGGAAGATAGACGTAGGACACAGCTGCGAAGAATACCTGTATATCAAGTCGAAATACCACTGTTTTATACACAGATTCACTTTACAGTAATCATTAATTAAATAGTTGAATTCATAAGTCAATTAAAGCTAGACCACCATGGAAAACCTAGAAGTTCTGGACGACCGATTTGTCCTACTACGGGACTCCTTAGCAGTGCTCATCCATGATCCCGCTCGCGGGATTCGAACTCAGGACCTATCAGTTTCGCGCGCGAACGCCTAGCCTCTAGATCACTGAGCCGGTATCCAACGGTGTTAATGTCTAACTTCAACCAATCCTTATATATATAGTATTTGATCCGCACTAAGAAGGACTTGACACACATGACATTGATCACGACCTAGTGATCAATCGATTGTGATATATATATTAGATTTTACTGTTACAAATCTTACTGATTGGCACTGGAAATCATTCTTACTGATATTGAAAAACAAAGGTGTTAAGATAGAGGATACCAAAGGTTCTACCATTTTGTGGAGTTTTGATTTTGAATTAGCTAGTCACTAGCTTTATTGTGTGATATTTTACTATGGATGGTACTTAGGAGTAAATTTCAGGACGCCTATTGAGCAGTTTTTGAATATGTCATCTGAATACTCTTGCTTCCAAGTGAGATTTGAATCTCAAACCTTATTGCTTCTAGCTATTAAGGGTTATTATGCATTAGGTTACACATTTGGTAAAACCATTATTTAAACGGTTGTGATAATGAATAATAATTCCATGGCGTTAGGAATAATTTGTATTTTTCCATTGTTGACATTCAGGATTACAATTGACCTGTCTCTGTATATGTGCCATTTAAGCATCCTGAGCGGATTACTTCTAAAGAACACTATATCACAATTTTTAGTATACTTTTTTATGTATCTATCCGTGAAATCCAAGACGCACATTTCGTCTTATTTATGATTCTTCAGGTAGATATGCCTGCATCATCCTAGTGTTGATGTTCACACTGAGACTCAAATTCATTACCTTTCATTTCCAACTTCCAACATAATATCCGTTGAATATCATTTACTGTGAATCATAAAATCATATAATTATTTTCATACCAGTTGAATACGTTTCTAACTATCTAGACTCAGTAGCTCATCGGATAACGTGTTGAGAATTTGTAGCAAAGCTTACTGGATTTAGGTCCCATTTTGACCATCTATACTGAGATGCAGATGAATTCAGCTGATGAGTCACAAATTGCACTGCTAACTACATACCAACTGTATTAGATTTTTATGGCTTTTCAAATGACGCATAGTAATAAGTTCTGTATACAAATATTAATGCTTGCTAGAATTCAGATATTTCCGTTACTATTAGCCCTATAACTAACATCAAATGTTATTTACCCAAATTACTATCAAAATACTTTCATATAAAACGTAGTGATAAAATCTATTTGGAAATAAATGCTTTTTGTCCAAGTAACCAATCCTGATTTCAGTTTTGTGCAATCGTGCACAATACATTTCGATCGTAAAATATATCACTTATCATTATATATTCCCACTATTGTATACTTCATTTATTTTTAATCTCATTTACATTGTATTTATTCTTGTATTAGCCTATCATTTAACCTCTACTATGAAAACAAAATAAGTGTATTAAGTTTTATGTTTGTTTGTCCTTTTTTTATCATCAATTAATCTACATCTTTTGTGTTTTATTTACTCTTATAGATCAAAATCAAATTTAAGAGGGTAAGTTGTACATAGCTCTAATTGGTGTGTATTTTTCTGTCTTTCTGTATGTATTCAGTTGTTTGTTTTAATAATCAATTAATTTTTTTTAATTAAATGTTTATGTTAACAGTTACAAAAAGTTACTGAAAATAGCAACCTTTAAAAACGTTTTTGTTGCTTAAATTATTCATACTACATAAGATATTCATAAGCAAAGGTGGATAGTGGCTAACAGTGAAATCCAGGATACGCGTTTCGTTCTGTTTAGGAATTGTCAGCTGAATGTACCTGCAATATCGAGGGAATCCGCACAGGATGCACATATTCTAATAATTGACTGATCAATTGCATTTTTAAACATCAATGAGAAGATTCAAACAAGCTATACAAAATGAATTTACATAAGATATTGTTTCTAAAGTATCTATACTGCAATTTAATCGCTTCAACTTCAATGTTCTTTCTTCTGGTACACTTCCTGAAGATTGATAAATAGTTAGTTATGGGAAAAGTTGATGGTTTCTATGCCCGTTAAAATAAATTTGGCTAGTTCTTTGACAGATTTCAAATATCATTTCACAACTCAATTCATAGTAAAGTTGAACGATTCTTCTCTAACCCTGTTGGTACTTTATGTGCAATGCAAGATTAAAATTGCTTCAAAAGTTCAAGAGATAAGTGTTTAAACATTCAAAGTATTACTTGAAAGCTTATCAGCCAAGTGATATACAAATCAGTATGGTACTTTAATTAAAAATGAAATGTTATCAATCGAGGTAGTTTTTACAGTCTTATAAAAGTATTTTGTTATTACTATAAGTATAAATTTGAAATTTATTTCAGTGAACATAGTTTTCCGTTGTGGAATTGTTGTGTTTGAAGAGATTACCAGGTCATTAAAAATCGGCAAACTGAATGAAGAATGTGTTTCAGCCCCGCTAACTAGAGGGAGAAGTCCATATTCAGATGAGGGAAAGTATATTACACAAGCAACCGGAAGCACGAATTACAAGCACACAACCCAAGCGTATATATATACAGCAGGCTGTATATACTAGGCTGTTGCTGATGGTATCCGGCCAACGGACATTGAGTATCTTGCATAGACAGTTGTCCTATGGAAAACAACGTTGCAAAAGAATGCTAACTAGAATAAACAATTTAAACGCTAAACGTGATACAAATACACATAAGATATGGGTATAATTGGGTGCCAAAATATGAGCACCATATTAAGAAAGATATGACATTGTTGAAGGTGGAAGGAAGGATACGAAATTCAGTCGGGGAAAAGTCTAAATAAAAATATAACCAAAAGTGACTTTTTCAATCAAAAACATTATTCTCACTTCTTTGATGAATACGAAGAAAAAGTACAGTCGAATCACCAATCGCTTACATTCTAAGACATTTATGATAACTTCTAGAAGCACCGAGTTACACAATCTGTACAACCCTAACCAAGGAGTCATGGTTTACTGATGGATCCTAGTCCTATGTTACTTCCATACTACAGCATCATGTCAAAAATCGTCAGTTATGTGGTCCCATAAGGGAGGCATTTGATTACTGCATCACAAGATAGGAAGCTCAAATATAACACCCTATCTCATCCAATTTGAACTGTCGATTAGTAAGGATTAAACTGATTAATGATCTGTATAAATTATTTGATTATTTATATGAACTGTAGTATTAATACTCTGTATACGTGATTATACACAAAAATATGTTAGGAATTATTTTTCATCTAAATTACAAAATAACTGAATGTTTATGTGAATATTTTTCAATGTTTAAGATTTCGTTTTGTTTTTCTTATTTTGGTAGACATTGACTTTGATGACCCATAAAGTGTTACAATTATAAAATTGTTTTAATTCTAATATACATAATCTTATTTATTTATTTATCCTGTTTGAATGCCTTTTTTAAAATCATTAATAAACACTATGATTATTCGTTGATATTCAATAAATGTTTTGTACATTTTTCAAATGATATTATTATTATTATTATTCTAGGAGTCAATCATCTATTGGCGGGACATCTTATCGAGGTCAGTTTTAGTGTTGTTTTTATAATGGTTAATAATAATGAATTATCAATATAGGGTTGTGGAGATTATTAAGTTATTGATTGGGATCATGAACCGATTAATGTTACCATGTGCTCACTAGTGACTGGCTTCGTGAAGGGATTCTCGGAGTTCTAGTAAGAAGCCGTGACCAGTGGAGCTAATCCGTATCGGGTAGAGACAGGTATCTACCTTAGTACAATGGAAGATGGTCGCGCAATTTCGTGGATTGATCGAGGTTAGACATTAACACAGTTGGATAACAGCTCAGTGTTCCAGTAGGTTAAACGTTCGCTCATGAGACTGAAGGCTCTGGGTCCTAACTTGCGAGTGGGATCGTGGATGTGCACCACTAAGGAGTCCAACAATAGGACGAAACAACCGTCTAGTGCTTCCAGGTCCTCAATCGTGGTCTGACATCAATCAGTTCATGATCTCAATCGATAATGAAATAATACATTTAAATTTTTCGAAAATTATACATCACTATGAATAGATGATTTAATGGTGATATCGGTAATCACGCTCAGAAAAATCTAATGTTAACAATGACTACATGTATTAGTAAGGAGATAAATATTAGTAATACTTATTTAAGAACAAAATTAAATGATTTTGTAAGTAATACAAATGAGACAACAATGTCGAGCGTTCATAATCGGGCTGTAGCATGAAGGTGTAGATGATCAAGAGGGGGGGGAGTGAGAGAAAGCAGCTTCATAAATTCCTTGTACACACAGAAATTTGTACTAGTCAGATAGGGATGCTGATAGCTTCATCCGTTAGTAATAGATATGTATAGATACACTATTCGTTAAATTCGATTGAAGACCACAGTTCAATTGATGGGCTTTATTCATGGCATTTCGGTAATCTGCTTGGATAATGTCAATATTAACAGAAATTGATGAAAAACCAATTAAGAACAAATATTTCTTCGTTCTATCCATCTTCCTTCTAAAAAAGAAAGGCAATTCAAAGTGCAATGTCCAACAAATCTTTAATCCTATGTCATTATTATGTAACAATTTATAGGTCATATTATTATTATTCCAACTGATGATCAAAATTTTCATAAATTTAAACTTATCCCCACAGATTCATTATATACGCGTTCTAGCGTTGTGAGCAGTAATAACACCAACACCAACTACCGATACAACACTAACAGCCGTTTGGTTCCATCGGCTATCATCCCATCTAAATCCACAGAATCCCCGGCTCATAAATTGTGTAAAGCAATAATTTATTATATTGATATAACTTCAGTATCCTGCCATTCTATTCCATTTCTACCAGTTGCTCTACTCACATTGATTGCTCTGAATAATCTGTTGATTTATGCACTTTCAAAATAATACAAATTGTATAGCTCTAGTTAGTTGCTGATAATTGCTGCAAAATCATTTTATGCTTTAGTCTATAGTTTATACCGAAATACGATTAGTAATGTTTTTTTAACCATTATTATTACAACGGGTGTATTTGGGCTGGTTTTTGAAAACATTTGTTGACACTTCTTTTAGTATCTCTTCAGTATATATGTTGTTTTTCCAGAGGCTACATAAACTTTTTCGATAGAATCATATTTATATCGAGTAGGCTAATGAGTTTGTCGTTACTTTTGTTCACTCTTTTTTTGGTCTGCCATATTGATGATTAGAAAAAGTGAATAGCAACACTGAAAATAGTGTTTAAATAAAACAGAAATTTAGGAGATATATCACTGATGAATAAGTTATTTCGTTAGCAACAGTTTTGCAAATGGTACTAAAACATTGTCATTGATCTGGATCTGCCTTAGGGTTGTGATCACATAAAACGTATTTACCCCTATAGCATCTACTACCCATGGTTTTTTTCTGAAGTAAGAATTCGACTCTGTTATTGGTTGACTTTTTAAAAACTTTGTCTGAGAAGAATGCCGAATAAATGTTTAGTCTTTCTTAATACTGTTTACTCCAATTTCTATGTTCACTAGGTCGCTAGCTCACGAAGACAAGTGATATTCATCATAAATCTTCTTTGCTTTCTTTCATATTCACCTGATCCATGACCACATCTTTACTCTCATCCTTTCTAGTTTTGATTCTGTCATGTAACAATGTTGTCTTGTTAATCGATAGTGTTGAACACATACTGTATATTCTTAATACGTGAAGTAGAAATCTTATACTTTATAGTATTCTGTTTCATTCCCACCAATGTAGGTCGACATTTAAATAATTCCCTCCTTTGTTTAACTTCAGTAACCATTTTCACTTTTTTAGATTGATTAATTTCCGAAGGTTTCAATTATCCCGTTGTTGATATTCTTGACTAAATTTTGGTTAGTCGTAGTTGTAATATGTACATCCTGTGTGAATTGCCTCGATATAACAACTTTGTCACAAGTTTACTGGGTTCGAGTACCAGTGTTAACATCAATACTGGAATGTAGGTACTTTTAGCTGACGGATTCCAGACAGGATGAAACGTGCGTCCTGGTTTCCACTACTAACCACAATTCATGTTCTGAGAATTCTATATATTGTACCAAAATATAATATTGAATAAAGTCAAGAATAATAATATCTCTTCCATAAAAACTGATTGTTACACTTGGCTGGAGCCATAGACTCAGAATTTGTTTTGATTGTTATTCATCAGCAGGTAACGTATGCAATCTTGAAGTATCTGGTGATCCTTCACATATTTTTTGCACGTTACTCAGTAATGAATTCAGGAATGCGGTTACTGAGCTACTTAGACTGGAACTAACTTATGAGTGTGAGGTGTTTAGAATGATAAGTCACTAAATAGCAACTAACACCATGTAGTACAGCCCCTAGCTGTTAATCAGATCGTATCAATCGGCTAAATAATATCAATTAAGTTGCAATAAGGTTTTGATTCTTCTAATTCAGCGGCTACATTACAAGTAGACTGATGAGATTCATTCAACATTCTAGATTAAGATGTATTTATATTTTTATTTGAACATATAAATATTGGTACAAAGAGGCACCGAATACATATGCGCCACAAAAGTCACTTGGTTTGGGTTTGGTCTGTAATCCTGCTTGGGTGCCCAGATCGAAGCAGGTGGTTTCCTTAGGGAGCCGCACCCGAGGCCTTTGGTCTGAAGGTCTGATCCACAAGGCAGTGGAGCAACGTCAGGAGACGCAGTCTCATGGCAGCCGGTGGTCAATAGTTGGTTCATATGTCATTTATTCCTTCAGGATTCTTGAGACCACGTACACTGGTTTTGAATCAGGGTTTTCCAAATCCCCTAGGAGGACGATCCGTGTCCACCAAACCGGTTAAAGCCCCGGACATTCGCTTTTCGTCCTCTCAATTTCGTAATCAGCACCCCTGCCGCGAGAAGCCAGTGAGTAAGACTTTCGTGGTAGTGGCTGTATACGTGTGGCCATGTGAAAGCACTTTGAGAGGGTGAGCGGACTCGCCTCACTCTCATCCCTACTAGGGCATTCGTGGGCTGGATTAAATAAGATGACATTAGTTGCTACTCAGTGATTGATTAACATGATTGTTCATTGATATGCTGTAAGTAATGGTTCTCAATGTTCAACTCGATTTACTCATAATTTAAAATATAACAGCATATACTGGCACTGAATATAAAATTTTAAAATAGTACGTTTTTATGCTTAATACTAATAAATCCGACAGTAAATGATTGCTAAGTAACGTCATTTGTTTAATTATATGCGATTGTTCTTGAAGAATGTTCTAACTATCCTGATGTTAAATTGTAGATTATTATTATCATCAGCTTTATTCAATATTATATTTTTGGTACAATATAGAATTCTCAGCGCAAAGTAATTCAACAAGTTTCCGTTTCTTTCTTCTTGGTCGGTCCTGGCGATAAATATTGAGTGATCGCCAGTTAGATGTTAGCGGTTCACTAAATGAACATCTGAATAATGTGCATTCTTTTCGTTGTATATTGCCAGCAACCACATTGTCCCTTATTGAGTTTTTTGTAACTTTGACAACGGAAGGTTGTACACTTTTCAGAAACGCAGCAGAATAGGTTATGCGAATAATAAACATTATGATATATTAAAACAAACAAAAATGGATAACTTGTTGAAATATCTAGATGGCAGGAACAGGTAGCCCAGATGCTCAAGCAGTTGGTTTTTTTAGGGTCCGCACCCGGAGCCTTCGGTCTGAAGGCACCCAAGCAGATACTACTTATAACCAATAAAATGAAATTAAAGATTATCCGTATTCATTAGTGCTATTTATTAGATATCGGTTATTGTCTTGTCTTTCATTGATACTCACTTAATTATGCTAGTTAATTATAAAACAATTATCTTCTTTTGTTAACATGTACAACTAACTAGAATAATACGAAATATAGAACAGTAGCTCAACAATTCTGTTCAATACAGTCAATTTCTTCTTTGAATTAGTTTGTGTCATTGGTAGAATAAGCATTTAGAGTTATGCCATACTTTTCAAAGAATTTGATTATTTAATTATTACTCTATCCAAAATATTACTGTTCATAGTGATGTAGTCACTTCTATATACAAAATCATCTTATCATCTGATCAATTTTCTTATCCTTCTAATAAAATTAACGGATTATTGGTGAATATAATTCCTTGTCTTTATTGTTTTTTCAAATTATTGGGACTATTGGAATGTAACATATCAATCTTAGTGTAAATGGTAAATATTGTTAGCTACTGTAGATTCGGCGTTTTTGTTTTGAAACTTCCCAGACAGGCAATTTTAAATACTGTATTTATTTATTTATTTTTATTTAAAAACAAAATTGGTACAAAGAAGCACCAAATACATATACTCCACACAATAACAATGAGACTAGTGGTAGTCATCATTGATTTGTGTGAGGGCTGTGATACTTCCCGGGTGCCCAAACCAAAGCAGGTGGTTTTTTTAGGTGGCCACTCCCCGAGCCTTTAACCTAGAGGTCTAATCCACAAGACAGTGAAGCAACATTAGGAGATTCAGTCCCATGGTAACATGTAACCAACGATCGGTTCATACGCGATTTGTTTCCTCAGGATCCTGAAGCACATTTGCACCATTCGTTTGGAATCAGGGATTCCCAAATGCCCTAGATGGATTCTCAATATCCACCAACCCGATTAAAGCTCTGGACATTCGCTTTTCGTCCTCTCAATTCCATAAACTACAGCCCCACCATGAAAAGACAGTGAGTAGAACTTCCGTGGTTGTGGCTATATACCCATGGCCTTGTGAGGACATTTCGGGAGGGAGAGCTGACTCTCCCACCCTCAGCCGTACCAGGGCATATATATGTGAGGAAATGTTTCAAGTCCTGGTGTTGTTATTATTTTTCCCCAGTAAACTGCACAATTATTTAATTCGAATAATTGATTTGTTTTCTTAATCTCTGCTGCGTTTTAGCTTACATTTTGTAAAACTATGTCTTAGTCTTTAGAGCTCGTCGGCACTTCTATAGTCTTTGCTCAAATATGCCGCCGTTATTGCTTGGATGTATGCATACATAGTCAGCTGCACAGTATTTCGCTAATCATTAGTTTGTTCACCTGTTTGTTTCATTGTTAATCATTCCGTTTTTGTGCTCTGTGTTTAGCTTTTCTTTCTTACATATTCAACAATCGGTTCGTAAGAGAAGCAGAAAAAGTTAGTGAACAAATGATACATCAGGATTACTGATATTCTAATCTTCATTTTATCATTGTGCTATGATATTTTTCATAAAATTGATAAGTTTTTCAATTCTTTGTTCTATTTTGATTGTTGGCACCTACGTAAATGTAGATGTACTTCATAGGGATTTTTCAATGTTTTAAGTGTCTATATGTGTGTATGAAGTATTATATTAAACTGGTTATTATGAAATCCTTCATCGGTTTCATATAGATCATTTCATCGTAGAATGTCAGCTCCACTTACTGTCTATTGGGAATGACCATTACTGGTGAGATCAATATGAAGATAGTGAACGCATAGCAGGTTGTATCAATTTTAGCCGTCTTTATCTCTGTTGCGATTTTAATCTAGTTGTAAAATTTAGAGTTTACAATGCGTCGGAAGAGGAGTTTTATTCTATGGTTGAGAAACCTGGCTCATCCGAGGTTAGGATATATAGCAACTCCATGTTTATTCATTGTTCCTTTCGAAGGATTGTTGACATCTGCTAACTACACCATGTTAGTACTCCCGACGTTCGACAAGAGGTATTTCGGTGCAGAGAAATTTATTCAAGTAATGTCACTTTCCTGAAGTACCGACTTTGATGCCTTAATCATATGTTGCGAATGCTGTTTCAGCGTCTTCCATGTTGTGGATTATTCGGCGACACTGGGACTGAGTGGGAAAAGTGTTGAGGTGTTCGGTTAATGATATGAGTTTGTGATATGAAAGAAATTAAAATGGGACTAGGATCCGTCCGTAAACCCTGACTCCTTGGTTAGGGTCGTACAGATTGTGTAACTCAATGTTTTCAGAAGCTATCATAAGTGTCTTAGAGTGCAAGTAACTAATGATCCAACTGTACTTTTTCTCTGTATTCATCAGAAAACTGAGAATAACGTTTTTGATTGAGAGAAGTCCTTTTTTGTTGTACTTTCGTTCCAACTTTATTTCTCATTCTGTACCATTTCTATTCATTTATTTATTGTATGTACTCTCATTTCCTACTCTGTTTCTTTGCAGTGTTATCACTTCTTTTGTGCGGCACATTTTATGTTGATTTATTATATCAAGCTGTGTATGCTTAAATAAATAAGGGATAGTAAACGATTTGTGAATAGCTTCATGTACTAATGCATAGTTATCAGGTGATGAATTTTTAGGGGATGCCAACTAGTCACTTTGTAGTAACTAGTATTGTATTGTCATGGACTTAATTCTAGTTCTTGCAATTTAACTACTAAACTAGTCGTTTCAACATCTCTGTAAACTCTGTTTAACGTAGTTGTAACCGACTGGAATCTTGTGATCTACCTAAGTTTCATTATATTTGATATTCATCTTCATTCTTGGGTGAACGGCTATTTTTCATGTTATTTAAACCTTTATCACGCAGTATCGTGAAAAAATATATTAGTACTGGATTATCTGTTAATTGCATCTGGTCACGTGTTTTACATGCGTTGCTTGATGAATGCAATAAAATGTCCAAATTTCTAATTTTGAGCTTTGATTTACAGATTCCTGTGGAAATGGTATACCGGTAGATAAGGGTTAAAACGTTTACCCTCTTGTGATTGAGATATGTATTATGTATGGTTAGCTATCATCCACCTCATCTCACAATGCTTTCAGGCATAAAAACAGTGTTTAAGGAAGCTGAATACAGAAATATTATGACAAGACATCAGTTAGTGAAACTATCGATTTTTGTCTTGAGAAGTATTGATTGATGAAAACTTCCTAATTGAAGCACTTGAGATAATCGTGGCTTGTACGTTGAGTGACATAGCTTAAAATTAACTGAGGTGGGGCACAGTTACATTTATTTTTCATCTTTCTCTGAAAACTTAACTTGGTATCATTACCTATTCTTCATTTTCAATCTCATCCATTCATTTTAACGGCTATGTTTTTGATCTTTAGTTTATTTTGACTGTTTTTCATCTTGCCTTTTGATTCTGTGTTGTTTGCAACTGGCTGACTTTTATTAGTTAGATGTTTTTATCATGTCTAGGTTGTTTACTGTTTAATGAAGTCTGTTCCGCATGAGTGTTGAATATCGAAGTCATTTTCTCTTTTTTGCGGCGATTTTTTAAATGTATGATCGTGTACGACGAGAGAGATACGTATGCAAGGTTACTTGTCAGTAGAATCAATAACTAACAATACAGATTGAGCAGTAATAAATAAATTATTCAATTAACTTTAATTGTTCGTTTCTATTTCAGCCTCAACTTCTCAATTAGATATTTCTACTCGTCTAGTCAGTGATAATGGTGGTGGTTACCCATCACAAAGTTTGTATCCTCGTCAAGATTCAGGTAAATCAAGGATATCAGCCAGTTCATATTTAGATGAGCAAGGTGAGCATTGAGTTTTCTAGTTCACATATTACTTTGCTAATTATTGTTTATGTATACAATACTGGTTTAAATTCCGTAATGGGTAAAATCAGTTCCTTCAATATTGAAGAAAACCTTTGATGACTAGTTGGAACTAGCATGAAACATATGTCAACCCTTTGACATCAGCTCACAAAACGTCTTTACACCAAATATTTTTCTCATAATAACATCAGTCACTAATTTTGTTTATTTACTATCCGTACACGTGAATTTTTTTAGCATTTGGTGCGTTTACAAAAGACTTTTACCGAACTAATTGAGCTGTAGAGATTGTTAAGTTTTAATTGTGATCATGAACCGATCAATGTTAGACCAGTACTAATAACCTGGGAGCATTGGAGTTCTAGGAACTTACATTTTCTTGCTCCTGAATGCCTACCGACGTGGCCAAGCACTGGTTTAGTCAAGATAGTAAACGGCTCAGCACTAGTTATGTAGTGCAAACCGGTCATATTACCAGATTAAGTAAATCATTTTCAATAATTTATCGGGTTAGTAATTTTATCCTAAAGGCGGTTTCAGCTCAAACTATTCTAAATGATAGAATCGGTTGCCATTCGGATTAAAAACTGGAGCTATGCTTGTGGAAGTAGTAAGTTGAACACCTTTCCTTAGTTTTGGCTAACCCCAAGGTAATAGATGAAGAGTAATATTAACTATAAAATGACCAAAACTGACTGAAGTATATACAACCTTTCTTATTCAAATTTTATTGTCTTAGTTATTTCTATTCACACGTCTTTATATTATTATTATTATTATTATTATTATTATTATTATTATTATTATTATTATTATTATTATTATTATTAACTTCAACACCACTATTTGTTTTCCGTAAAAATGAGTAAATTAATTAGCACTTAACCCACTTTATTATTTTTTGTTACCGAGTTCATATAACGTTATACCTAATATAATCTTCCACTAAACATTTGATCGAATTTGTAATTGGATTATTATTTCTCTCACCCTATCTGATCCATACCTAATCTAATCATTACTATCACAATTTCATTTAACATATCAACCAGTTAACATTGTTTATTATTCAGTAGTTATTATTCAACATTAACACTTTTATTGAAATCGCGAACTGATCTAAGTTAGACAACAATTAAAAGCCTAGAAACATTCGGTAGCGGTTCATTATTGTGTGGAACTTCTTAGTAGTGCATATCCATGACCCTGGAGCCGGGCATCGAACCCAAAACCTTCAGTCTTATGTACGAACACTTAACCTTTAGACGATCGGACCGGAGTTCACAGTGTACATGTTTAACTTCAACCAATCCATGATGCTGCGTGACCATCTTCCATTGTCTTTGATGGTCGGCTCATGTAAATCGATTCGCAGTTTGAATAAAACTCAACAATTTGCACAACTGCTTACTTGAAAGTTAACAATTTTATTTTAAAAACAATCCCGAATTCACATTCAACGAACTATTTTGTCTTAAACTTAACCACTTTTTGGATTATTAATTTGGATACATAATTGTAGAAATTGGCATATATGTGTGTCAGTTAAGGTTTCTACATCATATCAACTCGATGAGATACCACAACATTATAAATAATAACAGTATTAGTACTAGTAGAAAATATTAGGCGAAGAAGATATGATTAAAGAAGCAAATATGGATTTATGGGGTGAAGAAGGTTTGTGTTTAGAAAGTAGTTAAGAAACTTGAGATCAAGGAGGTGAAAAAAAGTCAATGCTTCTCACCATTTCAATGGATTCTAAACCGTATCATCAAAAGTCACTAACGATTAGTGATGATATTCACACGACCTGAACCAAGTAGTCTGAACTTGTCTCCATGATTCAGTTTAACAAGCAATAACTCTATAAACTGATATCAGATTTTCATGCTATATAATCGCTTAAATATTTGTAGTTAAAAAAATACTAAGCATCACCAAACAATGTTTTTATATTCTAATAATAACTATATATTTTTTATATTCCAATGAGTAGAAACCTACTCTGAAGAAGTGGCTTACATTAAGTCACGAAACGTCAAAAATGCAATTTTGTACTCATTGGAATATAAAGAATATATTTATCATTAACTCGACTCGATGTTCAATTTGTTTTACATTTCAACTTATAAATATCTAGTTTATGTTCCCACTTATAATTAATCATCTTTACAAGTTAATTGTCTAGGCATACAATATTCCTCGACAAACTTTCCGATATTCTGATCATTTCAGTAGCCGTCAAATAGTCGTGTACCGAGTATTTATGCATTTTACGTATGTACAAATTAAGTTGTCATGACTTAAGTGATACTTTTATGAATAATTTAGTTTTTTTGGCTTGTAGCTGAATAAGTTGCTGTTTGGATTCAACCTATTTATTAGCTGCATTGTTTTCTCATTCACTATCTATTGTAAGGTGATTGCAGGTTACATTATGGATTTCTGTACGATCACCAGTTATTAATCACTATGTTCCTATGATATTGTACTTAAATTGTATGATTGCTTTAATCTGGTTAGTAACTAGCAGTGAAGTCCATGATTTATCCAATTTATGAATCGTCAGCTAGATATGCTTATGTGGTGTCGTTGGTGTTCACACTGGAATTCAATAAAACAACTTATTACCAAGTACAATATAAACTGCATGGACTTGTTCTGAACATGCGGCAGGTTCTACATTGTGCCATAACTGACTGACTGTGTGCATATATGTCATTAGAGACTGATCAAATACAGCCTATAATATCGAGAATGGATAAACTCATATTTTATCTGACATATTTTACCTGAATGTTTTATAAACTGAATGTTGACTGAGATTTGTATTAATTTATCAATGAATTCATACATGACAATTTGTTCTCGTATAAATATCACTTAATAGTAATAATAATTTTTATTATCACTGGTTTATTGATTATTATCTCCATTTACCTCCCCCCAATTTTTGTTATATATTTTTAAAAGGTGTTGCAACACCTATTCAGCAGCGAACTGATGGAGTTGGTGAAGTTTCAGCGGCACCTTTTGAGTCACCTGGTAGTTTTCATACTTCAGCATTTGGTGCTCAACCTGATGATCGACCTAGTAAACCTATTGAAGGTAACTTTCTTTTGGTTTAACACTGCCTACCTTAATGTTGATTAAACGATCGACTTTGGTTCATTATTGTTTTTCTTTTTGAGCACGTTTTTTTCAAAGAAAAAATTGAACTCATTTCGTAGATTGAAGTATTTTGTAAGGCAAGTCTATGTAATAGGTGATATGGTGATATATTGGTCAGGTAGTTTGACATTCGAATCTTAAAATATTGACTTCAGTTTGAGCAACCGGACAGTATTAGCATCCTTCACATGTAGATTGTAGCACATAGCCCATTATATGAATTTGTACATGGTGAATAAGTGAGTGATGATATAAATCACGTATTCATAGCTCCGATTCCATTTTCCTCTAAATTTTTAGTTCAGTATTGTTCCGTATATTTAATTTCTTCTAAAATTGGTAATTTCACTCTTCTCTACCTATCGTTATTTCTTTCTTTCATTGTGGTGATGTAAGATGTGGAAAATGCAGTCAACTTTTATTCGTTTTAAGTCCTTTCTCTCTTAGTGGTAATTTAATTGGAACGGGTGCATTTGAACATCAGGTCAGCCAATTATAATCAGCGTATTACCTTATAATGAAAAAGACTAAATATTGATATTATGGTTTCAATAGGTAAAATGGAGAAATAATGAGACTAAAGATCTAGAGAAAGATGATGAATGAATGAATGTGTCTGGGCCATTATGATAGATTCTAAGCCATATTACCCAACCTCACCAACCATTTGTCGGAGTTATCATGCGAACTCCAACTACGCAATCTGGATCTATCAACATGGCTCAAACCAAGTCAAATGACTGATACCATGTTTGTTTTGGTCACCCCTAGCTTACTTTCAGTATTCCCCTGTACTAGCTAACATTGTCCATCGAGGTGCAGTTAAACTATTTGTATCAAGATCGTACTAATCTTTTCAAGGTTCTAGTCAATCAATTATTAACATTCCTGTTTATTATCATTGTTTTTATTATTATTCGCATTTCAGATATGACAAAGCGTGAAACAGCTGAATATGTGACACATTTACTAAAATCGTTACAGAGTACGTTCATATTTTATCATATTTTTCTTTTTAGCTTTTAATTAAATTTTTCTTGCTATCACTTTGGAGATAATTGAGGCAATAATTTTGTAACTGAATTCGTCTACTCTCTGATATGCGTTAATTCAAGTTGATACACTCATACGTTACAAAGTATTAGGTGTTAATGTATTCATTAGATCGAAGACAAAGTAAAACGATATGGTAGCAGAATCTAGGGAGAGGTGATCATTAACCCTCTCTGAGAGGAATTCTCATGCTTACGATTATATCGTGACATGCATGGACGAAATTCGTTGTACCAGCGATACGCATATAATAGTCAAATGACAGTCATTTGTAACAAATACGTTTGAAGGGAGGGGTGACCATCTATTCTTCCAGGTGAGTGAATATGCCTGTATGTATCCTATGGGATGCATGAATGAAAACGTGTGTGACCAGTATCCATGTGGATTATACTTGCCCCTGTTGCATCTCCGGCGCGCCAAGTTCCGGAGGGACCAACGGTTTCCATGTAGTAGGTCCGTGGGCCTCGGAAAGTGGGTTTCTAATCCGAATTAGTATATGGGCTTTATCGAGTGGGGCTTCCCCAATATCAAATGGCTGGAACATTGCACCAATCAAAACAAGTCGAGTTTTCAATGGTTCTTTATTGTTCAATGAATGTGGAGCACACGATTTCCCGCATAGTTTGTAATGGTACCTTTCAACTGTGCATTACTATTGTTCTATCGCGTATTAATTTTTGTAGCTGTAACGAGAAAAAAATTGTCTTTAAATACTTTGAAAACCTTGTCAACGAACAGTGGATGGAGCATGAGGATTACGAGGATAATGCAATATAAGAACTACTGTTGATCTGTTTTGATGATAAAATTGAACATTTGCACTCCCTTGTACATTCTGTTTCCCAATTCACTGTGTAAATGTCTGTTGACACAATCTTAACAAAACATTTTTAAAAATTTTTCCGTAAAACATAAAGTGATAAGATTGCTGAGCGGTTTGAATTCAGATAACTTACATGGATATTTTAAACAGTGTTAAAATATACATGTGTATACTGCCATAGCAAATGGGAATCGTACTTAATGTACGTTAAATTTCCTAGAGAGAGCTTTTTATTTCTATGATCATTTAATCACTTATTCACTGAACTGAATAGTAAGTATTAAGTTGTACATTCTTATTAACCGGGTTGTTGTAGTATTTTATCTCAATACCTTAAATGATTCAATTAACACAGAGAGTTCGATAAAATGCAAAAACTTTACACACATGTGATTTCCGGTAGTTTACATTTTGTATTAAACTTTCTAACTCAATGTTAATTGATTTCATTGTTTCTCGTCTTTTTTAAAAAGTCGATTATTATGCTTTTTCTACTCTGCTTATATAGCTGCTCGAACAGAAATTACCCGTTTACAAATAGAAAATGATCGATTGACTGGTCATTCACATGAATCTGAACGAGAATTAAATGAAGTTCGTATGACTTGGCAACATTACGCAATCGTCTATTAGAAGACAATCTTACACAATATCTTGAATTGCCTCGTGAAACCAATGGTTACATGGGTATTGGAAGTAGCAGAGTAGATAGTGTTATTGGTCTTAGTGTGCGTAATAATACTGGTATAATGAACAATGCCAATCCATTTGACAATGTACGACATGAAAATACTATTGAACCCCAATCATTTTTGTCGAAAATCTCCTCTCTAGGAATGAATGCTCGTTTAGGAAATATCATTCCACCGACAAATAATCAATTACAAACAAATGGAAACAGTGCTAATTTTGGTGGGGGAGGATGGTGGTAAACAACTAATCCATAGAAAAATAAATAATAATTTGAATGAATTGGATTATTACACTCCCCGAGCTCTACTTTGATTTTGTTTTAGATAATTGAATCACCTTGACCTTGTAATGAAAAATACTTTCGTGTGTTTGTATGTGCTTGAATGATCCTATTTGCTCATTTGTATGATTATTTTTTCTATTTATTATTGTTTTCTTGACGTAAGCGGAGGTGATTTTGTACTTAGGTCTATATGTATATGCTGTTCGCAAAGTAAAAAAAAAAACATTTCAGGTTGAAATGTCTTTCAACATTATTACTATTATTGTTACTGACTATTATTATTATTATTATTCCTATTATTCTGCTTCCAAATATTACTATGTTTATTTTATTTAAACAATATCGAGGCTATAGATGTGACAAAAAAACATATGAACACAGACAAGCGCATTGATTAACACATATCCATTCACTATTGTTCAACAGCTTTGGTGAAATAGAGTAACTATTTTAAATGGTAAATCTACATTTTAGCGCATCTACTAAATACAAATTCAGAGGTTATAATCCATTGTACCATAATAATGAAATAAATTTTTGTGTTTTTTTTTAAAAAAAATTTCTTATCTACAGAAGATCTGTGATATTCAATTGTCTGTGTTTCTATTCCTAACGAGAACAATATTTAATTGCTCAATGTTCAATAGAATGCTGCCATCATTCCTTCTAGATAAACATTTTTCATTTACACTTATTCACATTATCGTATATTCTCATTCTTTTATTATCTTTACTGACAATGTTTCATTTCTGTGTTGTCTTCTATCTTCTCTTAAATATTTCTTTCTCCAAAAAGAACTCCTTATTACTTTACTTCCTATCAGATAATTTTCACATGCAAATTTGATAATGTTGTCACATTTCATTAATAATTTTCTAAAGAAAAAAGATTTCCTTTTATCCAGGGTTTACTAATTGAGAAAGTTTCTTTTTTTCTTTTTTTTTAAATTGAAGAAAAATGTTGTTTCTATGTTTTAGTAAAATAAATTTTTTGTTTGATTTTATCCAAAAACCATTCATTCCATGTGCTTTTCTACGTGTGTGTGTGTGTGTACGCAAATCGATTGGCGCTAAAAAAAAAACAACATACATCCCCTTTCTAAATGTATACAGGCGTATACGTGTGTTTGTTCTTATTATTTCATATATATGTATATTGACAAGGTGGAAACTAAAATGGTTGTGTGTGCTTTCTCAACCATATACACATAATAGAGTGATTTCAAGGTGTGTTCCAATCATATTTATCATTTTTTTCTTCTTTGATCTGAAGTTTCTTTAATGAATTTCTTCATGGTGAATTCCATGCATTAAATTGTGTTTTTTTTTGTTGCTTCATCTAGGAATTTTTCATCACATGCCAACTCCTCTTTTCTTTTTAAATAATAAATACTACTTTACATGAAATTGCTTTTCCCTCACTTTAATTGAATCTTACATCAATCAGTTTTTTTCTTGTCGTGTTCAATACATATAAACAATTGTTTAATGATTATTTATCATTTGAGAGTGCCTAATTGAATATCAATGTATATGGAGTTTCTTCATATTATCATTATTAATATTAATACGACCAATATATATTTACTTTTGTTTAATATGGAATAATCAATAATTTTCTACTTATTAGTATGCACAATTTGCTGTTTTTTTCTGTGCCAATTTCAATAATTGTTTTTTGTTCTGAAAAAGATGACGAGGGATTGAAAGAGCAAGTGAGCTAGCGAGAAAGTTGTCATTTTTTTGTTTTAACCTACTAGTTTTAAGTGACAGCAGGAGAAAAATAGTTCGATCCTTTGTGATTTTAAGGGGTTCTCTGTTTTGTTTTTGAAAAAAAGGATTACTTTTCACGAATGTGCTGCATAGCTATACATACGTCGGGCATACAGTAGTAGTTACTTTGATTTTAATTCACCTTGAAAGGGAGAGAAAAGAAAAGATTGTTCGATTTTATTCTGAATTTTGTAAAGCCAAAAAGAGAAATGATTAACTGTAATTGTGTATTGTGATAAGATATATTTAATATAATATTGAGAATGTTAACTAATTATTATTATTTGTTTATAATTGGCAATTCTTTTTTATCCAGCCTAACAAAAAAGACGTTGAAAAGAATTCAATATGAAACTAATAACACGATATTGTTCAGTTGGATATTAATTAATAAAAGTGTTCATAATGATAACTATGATTAATAATGGCAGAATGAATACTTTTCATATGATTCTTGTCTTTTGTTTTTGATTGTGTGTCTGTATGTTTATGAATTACTGGATCTTTATTTGTTGGTGTTTGATGATAATGGATTATTTCCATTGATAAATATTTGTGGTGATAGATGGATTTTATGTGGTAAATGTTTCGATGTTTATACTTGAGTTTATTCATTAAAAATAAGCTCAGTTATCTGTCTAATGCACAGGATTAACAAGGTTCTTATCCAATTATAGAGTTTTTTTTCATCTTCATTATTACTAGATGATTTTAAACAACATCAATGTTTCAACCACAGTTAAACTGTTCAATATCATTGTAAACATTCTATGAAAAGCATTCAGATTTCTTAATAGGTTCGTGTATTCAGTTATGAATTACACTTTGCGTAATGTCTAATGATTCTTTTTGGTTACACGAGGCAATGTAGACAAATCAAGACTCAGACCTGAAAGTTGAATGCCTTAATCAATAAGGTCTACTAAATTACAGATGGTCACATAATATTTTAAGGTACTTCTATCTCTTTCTATTTTGACACTCAGTTAGGTAGTATGCAACACACGATACACAAAAATAAACGAATACATACTTGTTATGTGATTATATCTTAAATTATTAATGCGACTTTTCGTTTCTGTAGCCATTTTGTTTAACTTTCAACTCTATTATCCTAATCACATATATGCGTTTGCTTTGAAAATGATAGGTTTACTTTTTTTTCGTAACCCTATTATGGTTACCGTTTCTATCTTAACATTTGATTGAAAATAAAATTTCAATGGTTAAGATCATGAATCGATTAAAACTAGACAATCATGGAAAACTTGAAAGCACTGGACCCCCGGCCGGTTTCAATCGACTCATGATCTCAACCATTGAAATTACTATAATATTTACAAAACCCTTCTGATATATGAAAATAAAATGTTTCTAGTTCTGGAATACTTAAAATCTATTTTATTCAGTGATATGTTAACGTTTTTTTTTTTGAATTCATGATATAAACCATATGACAAATATTTAATTTTGGTTTTTAACTGTTAAATAACCATAGAAATCATTTTCATTTTTGGTGTATCATTTTTTCATGTGTTCATAATGCTAGGCAATTTATGTAATGAATCTTGTGCATAAATTAATTAATTCTCTTTTCATGTGACTAGAGATTATTCGAAGGTTAGACTAATTCAATTATGCCTTTTGTATATTCATTTGATTATAAAAAGTATTGTTTGATTTTTATGCCTTATTCGAATCATAGTTGTCTTTTTTAAGTTTTATTCCATCTGAAGATCAGTTAGATTCAGAATTATTGATGTGAACTTATTGTGCCTCACCTCAATAGCTGGAGATTTTCAGTTTAGTTCTTATTGGGTTTAATACTTTCGAGCTGAGAATCAAGTTAAAGTAATTATCCAATGCTCTCAGGTTTTCATTAGTTCTACAGCTTTAGCCGGCTCAGTTTATGATCTAAAATTATAATTAACAAGTTATATAAATTCTTTACCTTGATATACTTAACGAAATTTCATAACCGCGAATGTATAGAGTGATAACGTAATTGTCAAATCATTCTAATTAATATCCCTTAATCATGAGTCTTAACTTTGTTTCCATTACTTCAGTTCCGGCTAATAGATTTCATACATAACAAGTAGTCATGCACATAAATCTTTACTTACCGATCAATGAGTTACATCCTATACATGGTTTAGCAGTGAGAGCTGGTGTTTTTGGTCTAATCTTCTATTTGGATATATATACGCACTTCTGGGGAGTCATACTACGCAAAAATCGTTCGATTTGTGTGAGGGTTAGAATACTGTCCTGGTGCCCAAACCAAAGCACATGGTTTCCTTAAGGAGACACTCCCAGAGCCTTTGACCCAGATGTCTAATCCACAAGACAGTGGAGCAACATTAGGAGATCCATTACCATAGTAACCAGTGAGCAACAATAGATTTATACACCTTCTGTTCCCTTAGGATTCTGAAGCGCATGTGCACCATTTGTTTTGGATCAGGGTTTCCTAACTCGCTTGGGTGGATCCTCTGTACCTACCAACCTGATTAAAGCCCCGGACATTCGTTTTTCGTTCTCCTAATTTAGGGAACGACCCCATCACGGAAAGACAGTGAGTAGAACTTCCCTGACCGTGGCTGTATACGCGTGGCCCTGAGAGAGCATGTAGAGAGGGTGAGCTGACACTCTTCGCCCTAGGCAGTACCAAGGCAATTGGTGGCATGGGAAAATGTTTGGATTAACAGTCAAAGATAAATATATAGTCCAATGAATACTGCAGCATTGATGCGTGTACTTAAGAAATATGTAATATACTTCTATCTTCTTTTATCCTTCAACAAATGGATTTCCGGGTATTATTTATTCGACCTCTTATTTTTTCTCAAAATATCATCGATCTGTTATTGAACTCAACTCTGTTTTTCAGGCTTACAGTAATTGGAATAAAAAATTACCGTACAAATTTGCTGAGTCATTAATAAATACCTAATTAATTATAGAAGTGACTAGACAAATTTCACAGTGCATTAATTCATTTATTTTTTCAGAAGTTTATTATATTTAGCTTGATTGAGAAAGAATTCAAGGTGTGTACAGCGAAAAAAAGGTTGATCCTCTCTTGTTGTTCTTCGATTTGGGCAACCGTATAATATTGATAACATTCAAACAAACAGTCTAGTTCAAAGCGGAGTGTATAAAACGTGTTCACTGCGAATAAATTACACCATTAATTTTATTTATTGAATTAACATAATAAGGTTTTTTGGTTAATCCCTTTTCAATCATTCTGCGTATTGTGAAACATTAAGGTTGAAATCATAGTTTGCGTTATTTCACCAATGAAAACCTCTCTTTGGAATTTAGTATTCAATTTACCACCTCAGTGGAACTTTTAATCCTTTTCGATCAAGCTAGGATTACACTTCCCTATAACTGTACTATGTTGGTATGTACACATATACCTTCAGTGACATAGAAATCAATTTTACTTCAATAACGACCCCACGTATTCGCTATTCAGTTTTCTACACATAGAGATCACATCACTTCAGTAATATCTGTTGTCACAAATAACAAACTTCTCTTCAATATTTGTTATCAAATTGAATTGTTAATTGCAATTATAGCATTTATATTATGATTTAATAAACACTATTCTGACCTTAAGTTTGTTGTGTATGTGTTACCACGTATTTGAATGATTGCCTAAACAAGTTAGCATATATTTATATTATTACACATTGTTATTTGTATTTTGAGTAATAATCTGAATTGGTTGACAACTATGATTTATTGTGAGTGTCCTAATACTCGAGTTAAAATAATTATTGTCATTTTTTATAGGTTTTGATCGTACCTTATTTGTTAATTCATATCACCGCAACTTAATCCATAGGATTCTTCATCGCATTAGGCATATATGACATTGATCATTACTAACAGGTTAGTCAATGTAAATATCTCAATCTTACAAGAGGTCATTTGCGATCCTAACATCATAATGGTAACGTCTCCGACTCTGAAGTTGGTTGATTAAGGTCTGAATCAGATAGAGAGCACCAGTCCCCTCAAGATTGCAGAAACGCCTTACGAGTACCAGGGCTTCTTGCCGATCACTTCCAATTCTACTTAGCAACTTACATCGATCTGTTATTAGTTAGCATCACAAAGTCAATCAAACTATGTTGATCACTAAGTTAAACACTTATACCATTGTGGTGTGTACTACTTATATCGACACAAGTGGTATATGATGTTTGTCAGGAACAGAATGTCTGGCAGCATAGAGACAAGAGGATCGAACAGTAAAGAATGGGAACAGAATGCAATTTGTATGAAAGTGCAAAAACAATGAAGTCTAAGTCATTATGAGACAATTGATTGACATTTTGCAAATTACGTATTTACTATTTGATTGTTAGATTTTATTAACACGTCCTGTGATTCCGTGTCAAATACATTCGATTGTCCTCACTGGCGTTCCTGTTAGCTACGCCATCACCAAACGATCTAACTAGAGAGAGCAATGTCGATCGTTTCAAATATGTTTAACAGGTTAGTAGCAGAAGTTTAGTTACTTATTCTCTGATTACGATATGGAATGACTTCACCGAATTGTTCACATCTGTCAGTTCATGACACGTTCATAAAACAAAAGATAAGTGTTCGGTATTGTCGTATCTTAATTCTATTGGTTAAGAAGTCCTGGAGGTTATGGATTTCATTGTCTTGTGTTATTGGTCATAGTTTGGAGTGGAAGCCAGTGAGAATTCTGTTGTAATTTCCTAATATATGCTTCATAAAACGTTAGATAAATATCAGAAATCTCTCTTGGTTGTATGTCTTAAATCACATTTATGATTCGTTGCCTGAATCTACATGTTTCTAATAAACTTAAATATTAGACTTCAGTAAATATGTAATACAGTAGTGGCTTATTCTTAATTGGATTTGATAATATAAAGGCGATTCTGTTCGGACTAATGAAATTCAAATATTTGTCTCTTAAACGTTAAAATCAGAAAATTAAAGAAATGATAGTCAGCTATGTAAATCTCATGATTGTGCCAATAAACAGAACCATTTAATCATAGTTCATAAATTATTTGGATATGATATTTTGAGCAGAACTGAAGACGTACTAACAACTTGTATCGAACTCAATTCTGTTGGCTTTGAGGAATACTATTTTTGTCGACATAGTAACTGAACTTTCATTCTTTATAGCTAAGTCTGTTTTTTCGGACATTTCAAATAACGTACTGATTTTAATTAGCCATTAAAACCGAAGGAATACTGGTCATCTACTTCGTCTTAGTATAGAACTCCTGCGAAATGTGCATTCACAACCCTATCAGGTGTCGATCTTATTGTCTTTCAGGTCTTATAACCGAACACCCTAACCTATAAACCATTGAGAGGGGGTACAATTATTTTCATTTCCAACTCCAGTTAATTCCTAATGTGTTATTTATTAGAAGCTAAGCAACCGAAGATTATATGTTTTTGTGTAAGGCACCACATCACTGTTTTTATTTTGATCAGTTCAATTTTCTATGATCTCAGATCATAATTATCGTTAATGTTTATACAAAGTTTTCATGAAATCAAGTTGCTTCATTATTATCGCGTACCTATTGTTAGCGAGATTCAAGATGAATTTCACGAAATTGCAATAAATAGCCCTTTTTACCGGGCACAATCAAAAGATTCGCGAAAATTAGATGGTATTAACGCAATGACTATAATTGATAGTGATCGTTAATGAAGTTGAACATCTGGGCCATTGAAGTCAAATTCAGTTGCTTAATGCTATCTTTATCAACATGAGAGTTTCATGCTCGGTTTTATACAAGGCCTTCGGTTGATATTTTATATTTCTATGCGTGCCGTCATTCATGTTGTTTATCCCTTCAGATTGATCAAATTCTATCATTTAAATTTCAACGTCACTACTCAGAATAACTTGATATCACATTGTCGTATGCTTGATCTTAAATAGTTACTGAGGGGATGGGAGTAACATTAAGTAACAGGTTATCTGATAGAGGTCGGTACTCAATGATTTGTTTTTAAAATATAATTGTATTTACTTGACCATAAATTAATCCATTATTATCAGATGTGGTAGCTTTTAAAGCATCTTAAGTGTAAGTCTTTTATTCTAAGTATTTTTTTCTCCTAATATTTCCTCTTGAATCTTTCTCTGATACTTACTTTAAAGACTTATTCATACCTGTATTTTATTAATATTATTCTCTTAAGATAAACCAGCTAAATGGAGGTATTTCTAGGTCGTTCGAAAGTGAAAAAGCCCATGCAATTACCAAAGTCATCGTTATCGACAACATCGTCATGTTTTCTGTCGGGTAGTAATAGTAATAGCAGTAGTACTTTACCATTTCCAATATTGTTTAAAGAAGATTTCACGGAATTCAATTCTGATCATGATGATAACAATAATGATGGTATAAACAGTTGTGAACAGTTTACATTTCAAGCGGTTTTATTAAATGGTGCTAAGACATTAATCACTGATTTGGAACAAATCAAGATACTTCGAAAAAGAGTAAGTACTTTTTATACAAAATCATGCTGTCTTGTATGCAGTTTTACTATGACTATCTTTTACTTATACACGCTGGTGCATCATGGATAAATGGGATTCGTGAATGTTTTTTGATTTCCATATTATTGTCATACCTCAAGAGCGGTTAATGAAATATAATCTGAGTGAGGTATAGATATCTTTGATTTTGTTTAGTAGGGTACATTTCACCACATTAAGTAATCTGATCTTTGACTACTAGTATTCTGGCATTTCTGACAATTTCATACACTGTACTAATGTAGCATGGCAACCTGAACCGATAAACATGTATGTTCGGTCCTAGGTTTTTTTATGACTGATAAACTGTTACCAACTGAATAATCATTGAGTATAATGACGCACACTGTAAAAGTTTGACAGTTCTTAGAAGTAAGGACTGCAGACTTTTCCTACGAATGGAATTCAAGGGTCGTGGCACTACATATACTATCTTTAGGTATGGCCCCTCCATGTGGTTCACAATCCTCATTTATTATTGTTATTATGGATCCCCCAAATGTCCTAGTACAGTCGAGAGTGGGGAGAGTCAGCTCTCTTTCTGGAAATGCTCTCACAAGGCCACGCGTACATAGCCAGTACCACGGAAGTCCTACAGACTGCCTTCGCGTGGTGGGGGTGTTGTTCATGAAATTAAGAGGACGAAAAGCTAATGTCCGGAGCTTTAGCTGGGTTGATGGATATGAAGAATCAGCCACGAGGAGTTGAAAAACCCTCATTCCAAACAAATGGCGCACATGTGCTACAGGGTTTCGAGGGAAGAAAAGGTATTTGTATGTATTGTTGATCACCAGTTACCACGGGTCTGAATTTCCTAATGTTGCTCCAATGTCTTATGGATTAGACCTCTAGGTCAAAGGCTCGGGTAGTGGCCACCTAAAAAAACCACGTGTTTTGGTTTGGGCACCCGGACAGTATTCTAGACCTCACACAAATCGAATGATTCGTGTGTCACATATATATTTGGTGCTTCCTTAAACCAATGTTTGTGTTCAATTGTGTAAAATAAAATCTTAAGATATTCTTGTAAAGTCGTTGGTTTGTGCGCTGTTTGTTAGGTCCTGAAATGAAGCAAATGAGGTTGCCAGTATTTCATGATCTTTCGGTAACTCCTTCTGTATATCAGTTTGTGATATCATCATCGTTCTACTTATTGATACTAAACCAATAAATATGATTCTTGTATTTATTCCGATACATTTTTATTAAAATCATAATTGAGGTTTGGAAATGGACCAGAGCTTACTGCCTTCAAGTCTTGACCATTGAGTTGGTATCCAATAGTTTACATTTATAACTGCAATCATTCATGTAATATTGCACAAACATGTTTTAATACCGTTTTTGAGTAACTGCTTCATTCTTGACATCATCGCTTCGTCTCATTAGAACTCAAAGAACTTCCTCTTGAAATTAGTCATTAATGCATACATGGTCATTACCAGTATTATTCTTAGAAAATAACTAGTTAGTGATCTCTCTTTTGTTATCAAGATTCCTAGTTATTATCGATCATCAGGTATTCAGTTGTATAGGTGTTAATTAATTACAGGATAATCATGAATATAATGTGATATTCTGCATCGTCAAAGTTTTTTCCCATCTGATTATTGGTTACTCAATAATAATATTTAACATAAATAAATAAATAACTAGTATGTTCCCCATTTGTTTCTTCTTAACTCAACTTACTACTACTGCTATTATTATTATTATTATTACTAGACAATGGTGGATATGTCGCTCAACTTCGTGGATTAGTTGAAGTTAGACATTAACATTGTTGGATGCCAGCTCAGTGGTCTAGTGGTTAAGTACTCGCGCGCGTAACCAGTAGGTCCTAGGTTCGAATCTCGTAGGGGGCGAGGTCGTGGATGTCCACTGCTGAGGAGTCCCTCAATAGAACGAAACGGCCGTCCAGTGCTTCGAGGTTTTCCATGATGGTCTAGCTTCAACTGACTCATGATCTTAACCATTGAAATTACTATAATATGCACAAAATCCATCTTATATTAATACTATTTAAGTTAACAAGTATTTATAATCATAATCACTCTAAGAATTTCAAATTAATAATTGACAGAAATTATTTCTATCTTTTTAAACTAAACTAAACTAAATATCAAAATCATTTAGATTATAACACTTTGATCTTTGATAGATCCATTTTGTTATGTATTTCTTTAATTTAAAACAAACTAACATTTTCTAAATTCCTAATCTTGCGATTCTATTATTATTATTATTATTATCATTACGACTATTAGTTACTGGTGACCTACTATCATAGAATTACTGTATGTTTCTATGTATGCTGAATTATTTATACACACGTGATACATTAAAACAAAACTGTGGTTTTTCTTTGTGGAGAAAAAGTTATTCTATTGATCGTTTTGTAGAATTTATGCTATATTGGGATGATAGTTGTGTGTATTAACTTTATGTAGCTTTATTCATGTATGGTGTATAGTTAAGGTATCAAATGTGTAAGTTATTAATTTATTTTTAAATGTGTATCATAGTAATAGAGGACAACGTCTTGTGCTTTTCTCTTTGTTTTCGTGAAATGATATACTACACAACATATTTGTTATAATTTATGTCATTAACTGTTTGAGTCAAATGAATTGTACTAGTATTCTACCAATCATAGTTGCTATGGTTTGATAACATCAGTTCATGATGTTTATGACATCTAATATGTTGCTTGTTAGGAAGGTGTAAATTAGTTACACCTGCTAGGCGGTTCAAATGATCGATCACATTATTGTGTATTCATTTATTGTTTATGTTCTCGGTGGTTTAAATTTCGCCATTCTATTGCATACTCATTCCATTCTTTCTCTTTGGATCATTTTTTTAAATGTCCAGTACAATTTCTATTATCATTTATTTTGACCACTCTGCTAATCATCATATAAATTTAACCTTATTTTCATGATGCTGTATAAAAACTTGGGTCGATCCATATTTTTGCGAGGATCTGTGTTGATTATGAATGACTGTTAGTTGGTAGTCTTAGTACCATAATGACGTTTTACTCTAGATAACTGCTCAAAACTGAAACTCTTTGAACATTTTCATTCTATGGCCAAGGTCTTTGCGCGTACGGTTTTGAACTACCTGACTCAAAATTAGTGAACTGTTAACTAATTAGTGAGCTTACAATTAATCTTACACCGTACCGATACAACATAATTCAAAGCACAACATCTTTCTGTATAGAAAGATGAGATTAAGTGCAGGATACTAGGTTAAAAATGGCCAATTGGTTGATTGTGTACTTGATCTTCATTGATTGAGGTGGCTAGGACACTACGTATGCCGAATCATAACCTATCTCAATCTTGATCAATGAAGCATTTTTCCAGTCTATAAAAAACGGAATAATTCAGCAAGGCTGGTAGAGTTGTGTTTCATAGAATTAGATTCAGTGTACCTTAACTTTTATGACATTTCAACGTGATTCTGGTTATTTCAAACCCGTAAGCATTGTAAATGTTTAAATTCTTATCTCTTCGTTTCTAGGGTTGTTACGGTTTTAGTCAAAATAATGATTTTAATCTTCGCAATAAAACCAACAGTATACCCAAGTAAGTGAAGAATAATATTACTGATATTATTTATTTCTATGGTAAAATTGATATAGGGTTTTGTCTTCTATACGATGTACAATAATACTACAACACTAGATTTGGTACTCGATCGGCATACTAGATAATACTAACACTAGACTTGATCATGTTAGGCACAAATATACCAATATCTGGTTCAGACACTAGTTTTACTGACACATTTATAAAGATCCCACACAATGAAACAGAGCAGAAATCACAGTAGCGATATAACGGTAGGTGTTTATATTACAAATTATAGAATGGGCCTGTTTGTCTTCGTTTAGTAATCAATCACAAACCACAACATTATGTTGAACTTTTCATTCTATAAATTAAATATTTTTTTCTCAATTGGTATTCTGTATATCTGTCACTGATACTACCACTGCCAATATAATTAATTCTAAACCATATCATCCAATGGCCAGGACAGGGTTGGATAAAGAGTTCTGGTGGGTGGCCTAAGCTCCTCCACGAGGCTCTTGCCCTAATTAAGTAATCTCCGCATAGCAAATTGAGCCAGACAAGCTGTTAGTGGTCCAACAGACCGATTCTTTATCTTGATTTAGGTTTATTTATTTTTTTTACCAACTTCTACTGCAGCCAGTATTAAATATCTAGGTAGGTATATTCTAGGTAGGATATTCAACACGTCCTAACCACCTTCGTTGATGTACATTCATAGCTTTACTTAACGATTCGCCTAATATCCACATTGCTCACTCCATCGTTCTAATATACTCGATCAACGCTTCGAAATTATCTGCAATCAAAAACTTGTAACCTACCTATATCTTCTACTTTCCTAACCCTTGTTAGCACCTTTCTCCCTTCGTTGATAGACATATATCCTACCTGCACCACATTTAACGCAGTTAGTAAAAGCCAACTGAGCCCACTGATTCCGTGCTGTTCTAGGGGTTATATAAATACATCGACCATTAAGATTATCCAACTAATTATTCTCATTCCTAATGTTACAACGAATTTTTCTCGATGAATAACAAAAATAGATTGGAGGAACTAGATTTACTTTATTCATTGGAAATAATTAAATATTCTAATTATTAATGATCTGGTTGACAAATTTACTGCCTGATCATAGTGTATCAGTAGATAAATCTCCAAAATAAATAGCTCTGTAAATTTTCGACATTGAGTTCTGACCACATTAGTCTTAATGGACTCATCTAGCTGAAGGCGCTCGGTCATGCATCTGCACCAGATCACGAGTGGGAACACCGTGCTCAAAATCCCCTGCGATCGCTAGCCAGTCTAGATCAGTTGATCCTCGATATATTGATAGCCTATCAAATATATCTTTGAATCTCCTAGCTTTTGTCTTTTAATTTCACTTGGTGGGTACGACTCATAGTAGAAGGTGTTACTGGTTAAAGCGTTGTCAAACTCCAAATACCTGTGGCATCTTCAATAATTACATTTGTAAATAATTGTTGTGTTTAATAGAAATTTGAATATCTATTAGATGTATGTAATTAAAGTAGATTTTGAAAATATATTAATATTTTTTTCTTTCTTTTATATAGAGAATACAGTACAGATGATGACGACAATGATGATAATGACGATGACGGCGGGGATACGTCAGATGCAGAGGATTCAATTTATGACTTTTGTATTTCAAAAGGTATTGAAAAAACAGATGAAAATATTTCCAACGAAACGGACGTTACACATTTAATATTGAATGATGTAGAAGTATGTGTTTAGTTACTTCATGTATAATCAGTTATTCTTGAATACTTTTTTACATGAGGTTAGTAGTTAAACGTTACTCATGTCGTGATTGCTTTGATGATTAGATCATAGTTATCTAAACACTAAACGGATGGTTTCTCTTATTGAGAATTGTAACTAATTTTTTGGCAGATTTTGATGCTACTTGGCAGCCGATGTAAATAGTTTACTTAGCTAAGTATCCTTATCCTTTTGTTAAAGAAGGTTTTATCTGTAAGTGAATGAAGGAACATATGTAGATACAACCATATGGTACCTGGTGATTTCTTCGAGCTTTCGCACTACTCCAAGTATATGTAAATAGAAAGTGAATAACAAAAATCTGTTATCGGAGTCAGATTTTCTGGGTTTGTTTCTTAATTTTATACGTGATAATTAAATTTACATTGAGGAAAGGTTAATACAATGTTAGTCTCTTATTCAACGCACCAAGACCAACCTCCTTTTGAATAGAAACTTGTAAAACTTACTATTTATTTACAAAAAATCATTGCTTATATGAGAAATGTAGAGCTGAAAACTGAACTAATGTTCTTTATTCATGCCTAGTATACTGTTATTTATGTAGGTATACATTTGTTTGTATGTTTGTATATTATATAATTTAGACGTTGTTTTTACTCCATGGACTTGGTTGTTTAGACGTTTACTTGCCACTTAATGGAAATTCACAGTTTCATTCAACCGTTGAATGTCAACAGCTGGATCCATTGTCTTTGGTAAGATAGAAAGAAGTTATTTTAGTTCATTTCTATATCATGTAACAGTAATTTTCTTTTTTATATTCCCTTAAGTGTTTTTTTGGTCGCTTATGAATAAATAGACAATGTATAATGTACTGATGACTAGTGTTGTCTAGTTAAAAGTAGTTGTCTGGTAGTTTGTCATTTGAACTTTATCATGTTTAGCCGTATTTGATGAAGCGTGTTTCAAATTTTTGTTATCAAATTTAAACAGAATTGGATGGTGACTGACATTAGAATCCAAGACGCACTTCTCGTCCTATCCGGAATCCATCAACTGCATTTCAGAGCTCATATTCAGTCCGATACTCGAACCCTGTATCGTTCGCTTTAAACCCCATCATCACGTTATCCACTTAGCTACTGAATCCAGATAGCTACTGGCTTTTGCAGTGGAGTGAATTCTAATCCATATATATTGGTCGTGTAGATCTTTCAACTGATATGTTAGGACTAAAGTTGGTCAATCTCTTATAGGCACATGTATATCCTGTGCGAATTGCTTTGATATTGCCACTAAGTCACAAGCATTTTTAAGCAAACATAGAGGGTTGCTAGCACTGAAATCCAAATTGTTATTGGATATTCCAACACTTCCACTTGTATTGTAGGTCAATGAACATCATACCTCTTTGAATTGTTGGACAGGACCATACTTTGAAATTATTTACTAGTCAAAGTTATATGTTGGGTTTCGCTCAAGCTATTTACAATGAAATCACTGATTCTGTTAGTGTACTTGTTTCGTATGATTGATAGCTCATGCAAATTCCCATGTTCCTACATGTATTATTGGAATATCAAAAGTTTTTTTTTTGCTATAAGTACTATCTGTTACTCAAATTCATAGTTGATATGATTGTATAATAACAACACCAATTACAACACCATATTGCATCATAATTCATAACCCTTACTTGGCGCATAAGTAGGACATTTTCGATACTAAACGCATTAGTATCATCTATACAGTTATTTGACTGTTACGAATGATATAATATATAGGAACAATTATTAGATTAGTAAGTAATTTATACAAACTCCATTAAAAAGCATTTTATAAACACTCACTCAAAATACCCATACTAATCCATTTAATAAGCAATATTCACATTCCATATCTTCTTTCGCTATGTTCAGTTTATTGACTACTGCCTCCCACGTTCACAGCCACATTTGGCTAAATATTGTACAAATGTTATTTTCTATTTTATGGTACGTTGTGGTCTGTGTGGTTGATATATAAACCGAGTATGTTTGAAATAAATGATTCATATTGCAGAAGCTGGTATTGTATTCCGAGCTCAAGTGGGCGGACATAGGACCAATAAGGACGCTAAGCTGTTCATACCGGTCGAACGTCATTCGTTTGGCGCAGTGCTAAGATTGGATAAGTCGTATTTTGATTGGTGGATAAATCACGTGATAAAAAGCCGGACATAAAGTCATAACAAGTTGCATGAAGAATGTTTCTGTATATTCGTTTCTGATCTATGTTTGGTGTTCAATGTTTAGTTATTATTGTATCTCAAAGATTAGTTATTGACAATTGTAACATCCTTCAAATTATATCATGGTGTAGTAATGTGTAATTTCAGCATAGTAGCGATAATCATCCCGTATAACTTAGTCACTCATAAATCTCATCATTTAGAATTCAACACTTCTTTCTCTTCATATTAATTGATTTATTCTAAATAATAAACAAAGTTCTTATTAGAAGAAAATTAAAAACTTCAGTATTCTATACTGAAAGTGATTAAAACATATGAAAATGTTTGGAGTATGAAATGGCTCATTCTTTTTTGACTTTTCATTTAAACAACACATTCCTTGTTATTTAAAAGTTAATTTTAATGAATAATATTTATCTGTTTAATTAAATTTTAGTATCAGAAGGGGTTTTTTGTGGATATTATAGTAATTTTAATAGTTGAGACCATAAGTCAATTGACGATAGACCACCATGAAAAATTTGGAAGCATTGAACGGCTGTTTCGTCCTATTGTGGGACTCACCAGCAGTGCATATCCATGATTCCCGCCTCGCGAGATTTGAATCCAGGAAGAGTCCTACAATAGAACGAAACAGTCGTTCAGTACTTTCAGGTTTTCCATGGTGGTCAAGCTTCAATTGACTCATAATCTCAACTATTATAACTAACTTTTGTTTAATCTCAACTATACAATCAACAAATTATAATTCTGATATTATTTATCACTTTGCTTGTTATTATTAATTTGAAAACATTTCATTTAGAATAGATACAATATTAGACATAAATGAATATAGATATCTTATGTAGTGTCTAAGATTGACTATATGTGAACAAACAAAGAGTTCAAGTACTGATGTATATCAATCACTGAATCACTCATATCTAAGTTATTTACATTCTTCATCATATGATGTAATCAATAAGCTTGTGTTGTCAACATCCTTCACCAACTATCTTTTAACCACTATTATGTGACACTGTAATATTGATTACGTTTTGATTGTATAATTGATGTTAATGGATTTGACCTGATATCTGTACTCTTTTCATTTTGTTTACCGTGGATATTCTATTTTGAATAACTTAATAATTGATAAGTCTTGTTAATTTGAACGCTTTATTCTGTTCCTAAGTTATTCTGGTAACCCGCAAGCTAGAACTACGCAGCGACTTGAACTCGAGGAAAAGGTGCAAAATGAGCGAAAAGCACTTTACTCCAAAGGTTCATTTTTGTACAGAAATATCGGGTTCTGGTTTCCACTGTTAACCTTAATTTATCTATTCTATACAACTTATATCATAATGGTTATCTTCAAGCAGTTCAAAGATATATCATTAAGGACTGATCAAATTGCAGCCAATAATATAAACAATAAGATCACTGAAATCTTGCCTAATAATAATAATAATAGTGGCTTTAATATGCTGCTCAGATATTTCAATAATGCATATGTCGGTGTGTTCGTAAAGTCTATTATAGGTCTTAGAGGGGTGTCTGGTTTATGAATTTTAGGTAAACCATAAAAACGTGAAGTATTGCATAATTTGGAATATAGAGCAAACCATAGCGAGACACAACCGATTGGTTTTAGTTCCTTTAAAAGTTGACTTGTCTCTGATTTGACTTTATTTTTAATCGTTAGAGAATTTTTTGCATCGATCTTTTCATATGGTCCCGTAGAGAGATGTTCAAGAGCTTTATTAATATAATCCTTTATATCCATGCCCACTGTTGTGTTACCTTTGTCAGCTTTTGTGATTATAATCGTTTTGTCTTTTTGAAGAGAATGTAGAGCCTTCAATGCTTCTTTTGAAATGTTAGGCGTAAGGTGTTTTTGTTTAGTTAAAATATGCGATGTCTTCTGTCGTAGAAAATATGACTTTTTCCGGTAGTTGTGCGATTAGTTGTCCACTAGAACTTAACTTACATAATGTGATTAAAGATTCATATGAATTTAAATCAAAAATATCTAAATTAATTATCGAAAAGAATGAAATCATGGTAAGCTATGATGTTTCATTATACACTAGTATTCCTATTGATAAATGCTTAGAATTTATTAGTGGTTTACTAAAGAACAACAATAGTCTTTCTGACAGATGTCCTTTAAGCATTAGTCTAATCATGAAATCCTTAAAACTGCTTAAATTCGACATATTTACTTTTAACGGGACTTTATACAAACAAACTAGCGGTGTAGCGATGAGATCCCCAGTTTCCCCGATTGTAGGCAACCTATTTATGGCACACATAGAATCGAATATTTTCACCAATGATATTAAACCACGAATTTAGCTTAGATATGTAGATGATACCTTTGTTGCGATAAAAAAGACCCATCTAAAATCTTTTTCGAAAGAGCCAAAACAAGTTGGTGAAGCCTAGTAGGCCCTTCTGAAGAGAAACAGGCAACATCGATGCACGACACAACTACTGGGGTAAGAATAATTGTTTTGCAATCGGTTGGAGTTTGTCCCGTATGGAGCAACCCTGTACATTACATGTACCACTGAATTTTTTGTCGTTTTTCGATCAAGCAGTAACTGCGCTGTGATTCTTTGTTGATTTTGTAATCAGTTTCTGGGTATCGTTCGAGTGAGTGATTAGCCCGATCTCTATCACCCGGGTTACCGCTCATATTAGTTCATGAAACTGAGTCCCACTATCCAGAAGGCACGATGATGACGTGTGAGTCAGGCTTTGCCTCCTTTTCCGAAACAGATCAATACATTTCATCACATATCAAATTTACGAACGAGATTGAAAATGAACATAATGAGCTACCATTTTTAGGTTGCTTAGCGAAGAGAAATCTAAATGGAATTCTAAATCTATCCATCTGCCGAAAATCTACATACTCAAGTTGTTATATTGACTTCAATTCAGCACATCCATTCAGTGCAAAGATCTCGCTAGTCCTAAATCTTTTTAGAAGAGCTAACAAGATTATCACATCGGAAGAGGATAAACAAAAAGAACAAAAGAATGTAAATAGCATCTTACAATTTAATAATTTTCCTATGAAGATTATTAGAAGTGTATTAAAACAACATATTTCATCGCTCAATAATAATTATCCGAATGAAATACCATGGATTGGTATTGCAGTTTGACCATGCCGTTATGGTACAACAGAAGAACTCTAAAGAATTTTAAAATAACACTGAATTAAAGTGTATTATAAAACAACGAACACATTTCGAAATACTTCAGTTCGCTTAAAAGAAAAAATCCCCTTTATGTCAACACAGAACTATGTCTACAAATTAGGATGTGTCGATTGTGATGCCTTCCATATTGGAAAGTTATCTCGCGAAATCTCGACTCGAGCCAAATAACATATTAGGTACACAAAGAAACCACCTAATAACCCCGTAGAACTGGGTAGACTTCATATTAAATTGACAATAGCAGTTCACACCATTTACAATAACCATCAAATCGATTTTAAAATATTACAAAAAAGTTTTTCCAATTAAAAAGAAAGGAGAGTAGCTGAATCCTTCCATATATTGCTTGATCCTACTGCTCTCAATAGAAAAGAAGGCTTTACTATACATCCTACTTGGACTATCTATCCTAGCCACCTAGTCTGATATTATTCACATTTCACACTAGTATCGTACATACAAATTAAACTCTATCCTTTCTCACCATAAAGGTCACATATTTTTTCATCCTTACCGTGCGCACTACACACACAAAATATCGCTTATGAATCACCTTGACCGAAATGACACGACATTGATTTGTTCAGATCGGTTTTTTGATTGATCGCACATAATATTCTTACGTTGTTCCTTTGTACTATTTAAACTTGGATTAAATTTGATCTGGTTATTTATACCTGAAGAAGTGGCTTATACTGAGTAACGAAACGTCGGAAAATTTGATTTTTCTACTCATTGGGATATTAGAAATATATAATTTTTATTTATAAGAAGAAATTTTGTTTACTTATGCATAGTATGTTTTGCCAATTGAGCACTATATACTTTTTATTTCTCCTTTGTTAGTACCTTTAAGAGAACCTTCAGGTTGGCTTTTTGTATTACGTGTATTAAATAATTTGTAAAATCATTGTTTGTAATGTCTTTTTATTTTCTCATTTATTTAATAAATAGACTGAGGTCTGGTTTTGTCTGTGTACAGGATCTGTTGATTCACCTTGTTTACAAATTCAATCAGCACGAGAACAGATTGAAAAGTATTCAGAAAAGGAGCTCCATCTATTACGCCGTTATGCTGTATATATATATTATAGATCTAAAGGTTGGATTGTACGCCCTGGATTATGTGTAGGTGGTGCTGATTACCTACTTTATGCTGAAGATCCCAATTGGAGACATGCTTCATTTTGTGTTCTAGTTGATAGGGATTCTACAACTAAGGATGGAGAACAAATGAATTGCAGTTCAATAGCTGCACATGTTCGTGTTGCACATTCGGTTGGTAAAGTAAGTTCATTTAATTATATTTTGTGCATAACCTTCTTCTTAGTATAGCTTGGATCAAATATAGTCCATAAGATTTTGAACATTAATTTGCTTTTAAATTTGAGGATGCCCATGTAATTTATTAATATGCGATTTGTAATTCTCTTATAAATTGGGTGAATGAGTATGTATAAATTCCACTTGAATAGTTGAAAAAATGTCTAATCATAAAGGAGGAATTAATCATTTGCGACGTCTAAGACTATGATAATGGGAGACACAAGTTTGAGTGCAACGTCGGAAATAATTATCGTCATGATTACAAATATAATTTGCTAGCGAGTGTCAACTGCCACAAAATGTACATTGAATAAGACTTGCCTATTGATTGAAATTTTCATCTTATTTTTCAACCAGTTGAATATTGTCAGTGTGAGGTTGTGGAGATTGGTGAATTTCATTGAGATCAAGAATTGATCTAACGTAGACAACCATTGTAAACCTGGTAGCACTGAATAACTGTTGCATCCTAGTATGGGTTTCCTCAAAAGTGCTCACGTGCAACTCTTCAACCAAGGGTCAATTTTACGGCATTCAGTCTTGCGCATTTATGCTCAACTTCTGGAGTACTGGGTCTGGGATCCAGTAGCGTACAAGTCTAACTTCAATCAATCGCTTGAGCATCTTCCATTGTCTTATTCTCACACCTGATGCAGTTTCCTTCCACTGATCACGGCTTCTCACTATAATTACTTGAATTTCCTCCCGAAGTTAGTCACTAGTGAAAAGGGAATATAGAGACTGATTGGATATTATTGAATAAAATACAAATAAAGTTGATTAAGTCTTCATGATGTTAAATAAGAGAATTTATATACAAAACTGCAACTGATTAATATGTTTTCAACTACAAACATCACTTATTAGAATATGAAATAGGTTAATCTAAGCATTCACAAGATTCTCTTTTAGAATTTGTGTTCTGTGATATTATTGGTTGCTAATTTTATAAAATCCAATTCCTTTATTAAAGTTTATAAGTGGTACAAATTACTATTTACTTTAAAAGATACCTTTAGTAGACTGATCTAGAATCCTCATTTTCGATGACAAAATTTTTATGAAATAGAAACAGGACACTTTTATAATTTTATGCGATCTTTTAATCCAAATCTTTTCATGGTTTATATCATAAAATAAATTTATCTAAACGACTAAGGAAAACCAGAAAGCAGTAGATAGCCCTTTCGTTCCAGTATGAGACTTCTCATAAGTACACATCCATGACATCATCCAGGGCCGAACCCAGAAGTTTTAGATCAACGCCTAAATTTTCGACTACCTAGCTGATAACCAACGTTAGAGGAGCAAGGACGAAGATTAGTGCACAATAATACGAATTCATTTTATTTCGTTAGGTTCTCACCAGCTGTTTACAATCTATAATATTTTAAAATCAAAGTTATTACAGATATTGGCATACTTATACGTACGAGGGTGATTATGGATGAATATGTGTATCATGATGTAGCGAAGATTCCGATAGAGTCAACAAGGTCATAAAATGTTTTGTTTCACTGTTTCATTGGAATTACTATTTATTCATGAAACCGTCGAAATGCGCTTCTGCACTGGATCGTTTCCAATTTGTGCCTCTATCACTCGTTTCAAGTCATTCCTTTTTTATTACTTGATGACTGCTATTCATCACAAAAAAATTTATAGATTTCAATGTTTTCATACTTCTGATGACGGTCAATTTCTAAAAAATTTAATCATTTCCTTTCTTAAATCTACGATCATGTTAGCGTGTGATACTTTGTCGCGTAAGTCTCCCGTCAATCGAGGAGTTTTCTAACAATCCATGGGAAGCTGTTCGGAAAACAACAATTAAGGTAAATAGCAATTTTTCTCGTGACAATCTAACTAGTTATTGAGTTTTTGGGGACGGATTGAAATTAACTATGAAATCATTTTTCAAAGTGAGAAAGCACTGGACAGGTGTTTCGTTCTAGTTTGTGAATTCCTAACAGTATATAAGAATAACTCTTCCACAGCTCGAACTCAAGATGTTTATAGCCTACTGTGAGAACCTTATCTTTAATCCATTAAGTTTTCTAAGTATTTCCATACTTCCGAAAGACTGTGTTTACGAAGAACAAATATCATTCGGATAACCAGTAAAAACTAGAAGTAATCAAGTTTTAAACTGAACAACATTTAGTGAGTCTATGTGACTACACATTTTCAAACTTGAACAGACCGTGACTTTTAAGATCATCTAAAGCGGTAACTGTAATACATGGTTGATTATACCAATGATCAGCATAGATTTTAAGTTTTCTGAGGACTAAAAGTCTTTTCAGAACTATAAATTGATGTTATTGTTAAAAAGGGAAGTTATTCATATGATATCTGTTAAAACAAATATCTAAAGTGTGAATACCACATAATGAGACCTGATCACTTCTTACAATTTGTATTTTTATTAGGGTATAGGTAGGTTTGTGAAAGTTCATAATTTCAAACTACAGAATCAGGAATCTTCTGCTAGGATGAAATAACTATTCAGTGCCTCCTGGTCCATAGTGCTTATCTAGTTATAATCAATCGGTAATGTAAAAGCATATTTTATGCTTGATCATTATGCTACTTAATATTCAAAAGTAGTGTATAATTTTATATTTCTCTCAATATATGTAACTTTACGTACTATTGATTAAATTTTTATTTATTTTAGGAAACTCTCGTTGATTATTGGAAACCGAAAGCCAAATAATAAAAAAGTTTGAGAACCAGTTTAAGTTTTAAGGTACAATGTGCCTTAAATATATCTTCAACGAAATCGTATTTCTCAATAGCGGTGATGTACATATATTTAAAATTTACTGGTTTTCTATGCAATAAGATACTGTATTTTACTCCCTTTGAATACGTCTTTTACTTATTGTTGCTATACCGTCAGGTTTCCAAATGTTCACTCATTAAGGTGCCTAGATCATCCAGTACTTTCGTATATGTGTTATAATGTTGTTCAGATACATACGTTGTAGAGATTATTGATTTTTACCGAGATTACCAGCCGACTTATGAAAACCATTAGAAACCTGAAAGCACTGGATGAACATTTCGCTCTAATATGGGATTGCTTAGCAGTAGGGATGTACGACTTGTAATCTGGAGTCGAATCAAAACCTTCGATCTCGCATGCGAACGCTTAACCTTTAGACTATTGAGCTTCGATGTAAATGATATGCAAGTCATTACGTATGAAGTATATCAAATCATACTTGAATTTAGGCAATAATGTATAGTCGTCGTACCCATCTGAAAAGATTGAGGCCACTACTAAGAGTATTAGTCATTTCGAAGGATACTGGAGCCTTTGTGAACTAATTAATGCAAATTGCTGGAGTATTTCATTGAAATCATGAACCACTCCGAGTTATACAACCATTGAAAACCTGGAAGCACTTGATGGCCGTTTCGTCCCAGTATGGGACTCGACAACAGTGTGTTGGATTTTTAATCAAATTACTGTGATTAATCAGTTCTAGGGTAAGCAGCTATTTAATATATATGTGTTAACTATATTTACCAATTCTATATTTCAAGAGGCTAATATTGAAACTAAAACAAATGAATAGTGTAATGTGCACGTTGTTGCACCCCTAGTATCCTAAACCGTTCAAATAAAGTGCGTGAATGAATGAATTTTGTTCAACCTCCATCTTGAATACTTACAGATCACTTTCATCCGAACTGCTTTTAACCAAAAGCTTATGTATCGTGTGAAAGTAAGCTGGGATTGAGCAAGGACAGACATATCTGGCTACACTGAACATATTTGTTTATAAAACGTTTATTTCAATATTTTGTTTTGTTGATTGCATTGAACTATTTTTCAATAAACTGTTGTTCAAGCCTATATCTGATTCTTGATCATTGATTGGTTAATTGATTCGACTGTATCATTGTACCAGATATCATGTTCTAGTGGGCAATCTAATTTTTAGCCATACTGACTTGATTATCCATTATCAAATGTTGTGTAGAATTGTCAATCAGACCCATTTTTTATTGTCTTTGCACAGCTGTTGGTTCTAATAAATATAGGTTCATATAAACCTATCACTTAAATAAACTACTCAATTCATTCAATACATATTCCTCTTCATTTTCAATTCTAGTTATCCTTGATTAATACATTTTATCTTTACAAACCAAATTCTCAAGGTTTAATTTGTTTATCGTTTCTACTACATTATTTCGATTTGTTTTGTTGTTTTCATCACATCGCGTTATTCTGATTTACAACTTAGGTCAACTAACATTTTTCTCAAACTCTAGATTGATAAATTCACATGGTATTGTTTTACTTGTATCTTCCTATTGATGTTTAAGACTGCAATTGATCAGTCTGTTATCGGCATATGTGCATACTGTGCGTATGCCTTGATATTGTCTTAATTCACAAGCTTTCATAAGCAAAGATGGATAGTGGTTAGCAGTGGAATCCAGGACGCGCGTTTCGTCTTGTTTGGGACTCTTCAGCTGGATGTACCTGCATCCCAGAGTTGATGTCCACTCTGGAACTCGAACCCAGTATCATTCATTTCAAACGCCATCGCATTATCCATTCAGCTACTGAGTCCTGACTGATAATATCCATCTTAAATCAAAACTGGAATAGATTTTTGGTTTGTTGTATATTTAAGTCCTGAGTTATCGGTATGCATTATTTCATTTTATTTATAGATAATTCTAAACATGTTTAATATCAGCGGTAATGTAAAGAATCCCAAAACAAATAAAAAATAGCACGGGGGGGGGGTAATCAAAAATAGTTTACACAAAAAAAACTAAAAAAGAAGTTAAATGAACACCTTGGAATTAATTTTCTTGAAACAAAAAAATCACGTAGGTAAAAAAGCACAATTTACAATAAGATACTTCAAACATTTGTTAGAGAAAAAAGGAAGGGGGAGAATATAATTTGAAGGGGAAGATTGTATTAGAAAAAAGGTGACTAGGTATACCGAGAGACATATTTAACAATGGAATTTTTTGTGGTTTGGGCACAATTCTAGGGAAGAAAAAAATACTCAAAATAAATGCAATACTGTGATGATAGGTTGTTGTTGTTGTTTTCTTTCCTTGTTTACCTTTTTCATTATTACTTTCGATTCATTGGTTTAGCTTTCTGGAAACAATTGTGAAGGATTGATATGTAATATAAGGAAGAAAGAATATATGTAACACTCAAATAGAAGGTAAAAATCTGATGATGTGTGCTGAACGATACATTATTCAATATTAGAAATTGAAATATTGAGCCTTATTTGACAATCTCAGCTAGACACATTCATCTGTATTTATAATTAATCATGTTAATTACCATTACGATTGATGGGCTTAATCATCTAAGCTATTGGTTGGTTAACAGTTTCTTGTACACAAACAAAAAGTGTAATAATGTTGAATTGGGGAAGAAACAATTAGGTACATACACTTTAGATTAAGATATGCAGTAGCAGTTTCATTCGAACGTTACTATAAGATTATTGTAAACGCTTAATGGTATAATTGTTCCTACCAGTTCAGTCGGTGGTAAATTAGTCAGTCGTTAATGAAGAAACTATCAGTTTACTATAACACGAAATGAGCCATAAATCTATGTTTAGTTCGGCTGAGATTTTCTATTTCCAACTAGAACCAGTTCCGCTTATTTTTCAGATAACCGTTCAAATAATTATCGCTTACTAGTGAGTGACCGGCCTCGACCGATAAATTAATTTTAGGATGTCATTTAATAAAGAGAAAGATAGTTAAAACGGATGATTTTTGTAGATCTAGTCGATTCTTATAGTGGTGTTGTGTTCTGTGAGCTCAATGGTTTAATTAGAGGACTTTTATCGTCTTTCTAGACAACATTATCAGTGCCTACTCCACGAAGACCCACAATTAAGCCATTTAGCTCAAAGAGGCTAGATTATAAATTATTTGTCTTTACGAAATGTAATAACACTTGGGAATCGCTTTGTTACATAATACAGACATAATAAGCTGTAAATGAAGCAGATCTCAGTTTACATATCTTTTTCTTAGAAAGATAACCGCATATATACCTTAAATCCGCGTACATTATGGATTAGTTTGCCAAATACCACTTACAAGTCATTTTTGACTCGCATAACTGATTGGACAACTATATATAGGTAGTGTGTCTACTTCAGTCCATATTACTTTTGGAGCCATGATTTTTACTGTGCTGTTTATTTGGCATATTGGGATGCGCCATATCAGCGTGCTCATAGTCAGTCAAAACGTAGAAACTGGTACATTTCTACATCAGTCTAAGTTGCTACACTCTATTAGCACAGTGAGATAGAATTGCCGTAATCACTTGTAATCCAACCAGTCAGTCTGAACTTACCGATATTGCTCAGTTCAACAACCTATGTATTCATGAGCATATATATATATATATATATATATATATATTGGCTTGGTCGTTCCTAGCATTTTCTCAACCTGCTCTTACATCGATCATCATCGCCCGCTGAGTTATTCAGTCGATAAAATCTTCCTACTTCATCCCTATATATTATTCTGCGTCTAACTTTGGGAATGTTAACTCGATACAATTCATTGTAGATAGTTGTAAGTAACTTCAGATTCTTGAAATGAAATGTTCAGTGGAAACTATTGTGGAATGCAACATTCACCCATTAGATGAAGCGAAAGTGCTGGGTACCACTGTTATAGAAGATTGAGAAATGGATGGATGACCTCAAACAATTTATTATTATCTCAGTGTACTACATAGTACTTTCAAAATTTTTTTGCTTGAGTGAGCAGTTATTAAGATATATAAGTAGAATATGTCGATGTATAATAGTGATTTCGTTTATCATTTTCTTAAGTTAAAGACACCAGTGGTAGATTTTTTAAATACAAATTATGCAATAATATTTGTTAGCCAGACTTTGTGTGATGTGAATATCAACGTAACTTAACAAATGCTTACTATTAAATACTCAGTTAACAGCTTATTTCACCTTTAGACAAAATAGTACACAAACTTGGTCATCTACCTAAGTACATAATGGGTTATTTTTTTCTAAAAATGGTAATAATTGTGAGTGGATTTTAGGTATAAAGGGAATGGCCAACGCCCAATTTAGGTGAGTCAGCATGTGTAAAATTGAATGTTGGATCAATTTATTTGGATACATTGCAACCGATAGTTGTTTTGCTAGTGTTTTTGAAATATAGGAAATATTTATGAACTAGTAAAACCATAAAACAGTATTGACCTAGGGCTAACGTCAAGGGTATCAATTATAACGAAAGTGGTTGTTTATCGGTCAACTGCTGAATAATTTGACTTCAATGATGCTAATGTATGTGAATCTTCTGAATAGTGAAATTGTTGTAGGTTATTTAAACCGTCAAGGATTGCTGAGTACATTGTTCGTTTGTCAGTCGGATACAATTTTAACGATCATTATTTTAAATGTGACATAACATACTATCATTTTATTGAATGATGTATTTGACTCGTTGAAATCTATGTTTTCATATGATAAAAATCATGAAATGACCTTGTCCATTATGGAAAAACACGCCTCATTGAATCTAAGCATTATATACATGTTCCAACTAGATCTTTGAGAAACAACGGCGGATGAACATACAGAGTCATTGAATATTGATACCACTTAAAAATCTATCTTTACATTTACATGACACAACCGTTCGTTTAAGTTAGAAAATATTGGCAGTTGCACTCTTGGTGTAATTATCACCCATTCTCATTAGTATTATTGTCTTAAATCAATAAGAATCGTGAAGCCTGCATCAACTATTTCATTCACTGATATAAGGAACTTTGAATAAGAAGTTATGAAAGAAATGTCGAATCTATAAAACAGTAATATTGTAGAACTCACTTGAACAGGTGTATTTGATTGATTTTCAATTTTCTGGAAGAAAACAAAGTATATCTCAAATAAATTTAATATATGAAAACAAGCAGTCACAGTAAGTCCTGAATCTCTTGGATCCAATCCTGATCGCTCAATGATGAGAATTAATCCGTGTAGTAAGATATAAATTTCCACAAATCTTTGTACTAATTTTAAATGAGTTAGTCTTACCAATGTTTAGTAAACATAATAATAGTTACTATGTTAGAAAAAAAAAATTAAAATGCACCAAATGAAAATGAAGGCAAGCTAGCTTAACTCTATGCATACTACTTAATTTCAAATGAATTATAAGAGAGAAAAAAATACACTATAGTCAATATATGATCATGCACATGACCGGTTCTATTCATTTACATAGGTATTAATCAAATGCATTTCTATTGATCAAGGTCAATGAATTATAGATGTATTATGATTTGTTTCACTTCATTTTTAATTCATAGAAACAGTGTGTAAAAACAGAAATGAGAAATCGTATTTTATTTATGTAATGAGATTTTTACTATACCATAATCAAAGATTATTAAAGTGTAAATTATGATGAATTATCATGTTCTATGTAGTATTCCATGAATCTACTTATTCGCCAAACTACAGTTGAAACGAAGGTGTACTGGATTTATAACCATATTTGATCTTAAGTTTGGAACGGATGCTCCCCTAAGTCGGTCTAAACAGTTGGATTGTTGTCAATAAATTTATGACGTTCTCTAGTGCATCGTTTTTTCGTAGTTGCTGACTTAAGCTGATTGAGAAATTCATATCTCAGGCAGTATTGTATTCTATGCGTTAAACAATTTTTAGTTGCGAAGTATTAATTCCAACATTAACTAAGCTTTACTAATAGTATAGAAGTTTTCAAAACTTATGATCCTCATCAAGAAGTGAACTGAATAATATGATCTCTGTAAGCCAAGAAGTAATAAATGGCTATTTCGATTTAGTTTAATGCATATTCATGAAGTCACCGATGGTCAAAATCAGGTGATTGTACGATATCGTCAATTGATTGAAATTAGACGTACAAACCACTGGTAAGGTCCATTCAATAACATATAGTAAAGCTTGGTTCAGTAAGGCAATAAGTAATATGTTAGACGTAGAGCGGTTGTTAAGTGGTTAGAATGATTTATTGTTCGACGATTAAATTGTACCATTTGGACACTGCACCTACCTTGGATTATTTAGGTGGTCAGTATCACTAAGTGTTATACAAAACGTTGATCTTATAGCCAGTTTCTGAATCTACACTTTATTAGTAAATTTATGCGAAATGTTCGGGACAAAAGGAATAATTTTATAGAATACCTAAAGTCATGTCCAGTATTACTCGTTTTCATCAGTATAGGTTTTTGGGGATTACTAAGTTTTTGACTGAGATCATGAACCGATTGATATTAGAACTAATCCGTGTCGGATAGAGACAAGTATCTACCTCAGTACATTGAAAGATGGTCGCGCAATTTCGCGGATTAGTTGAGGTTAGATATTAACACCGTTGGATGCCGGCTCAGTGGTGTCGAGGTTAAGCGTTCGCGCTCGAGACTGAAGGCCTTGGGTTCGAGTCACACGAGCGGAGTCGTGGATGCGCACTGCTGAGAAGTCGCACAATAGGACGAAACGGCCGTCCAGTGCTTCCAGGTTTTCAATGATGGTCTAACATCAATAGGTTCACGATCTCAATCAAATTCCTTGTTTTTATTGAATTATATATAGTTCACAAATTTTAGACTACACTACTTATTAAGTCAGTCAGTCAGCTACAACGTAGGACCAGGCACATGTATGCATCGGCCCAGGTTGCCATACCTCATTAGCACAGCAAGATGAACACCGGATTCATAGGAGTGGTTAGGTCAAAGGTGGTAATATATAAAAGGAAGATTCCATATAAGGATACAGTACAGGAAGAAAGAAGTAGTTAGTAGAAAGAAAGATGTGAAGTGATCTTAATCTCTTAGTTTAAGGGAAGACAGAGAGTGTATACACCGACGCCATTGCGATCGATTCTGAGCCATGTCACCAAGGGTCTCCAACCATTGGTTACGAAAGTCACGCGGACCCCAACCAAGTAGTCTGCATCTACCAACATGGCTCAGACTAGAAGTTAGTGACTTCAGGCACTGATGCCACGTTTTGGTTTGGCCGCCCCTAACTTTCTTCCAACCATCCCCTACACCGGTTAGCATTGCACGTCGCGGTAATCGGTGTTCAGGCATACGTAATACGTGGCCCAACCATCTCAGTCGATGAAGATTCATAACCTCATCAAATGATTTACCATCATTCCCTAATACCCTGCGTCTAACCTCACTATTGCTTACCCGGTGATCCCAGCAGACGCCAGCAATATTTCTAAGGCATCTGTGGTCAAATACTAGTAGCTTACGGGTGTCTTCTACTCTTAAGGGCCATGTTTTGCTGCCGTAAATTAAAACAGAACGGACAGCCGCGCAGTATACTCGTCCTTTTATTGATAGACGGATATCTCGCCTCCGCCAAAGGTGACGTAAGTTGGCAAAAGCCAAACGAGCTTTACGAATCCGTGCTGAGATTTCGTCAGACACCAACCCATTAGGGCTGATCAGACTTCCAAGATAAGTGAAGTTGTCAACTCGTTCGACTACTTCACTCCCTATCCTTAGTTCAGCTGTTGATGCAGACCAGTCCTGAAGCAACAACTTGCATTTAGAGGGAGAGAAGCGCATCCCAAACATTCTGGCATTGTTGCTTAGTGATACCAGAAGACTCTGCATTTTGTCAGCGTCTTCACCAAACAAGACTATGTCATCTGCATATTAAACAACTGGACTATAAGAAATTAGGCTATTTGATTTAACAGATAAAACCTTATACTGTAAATCATAGTAAGACAAATAAAATTTTAATATCAAATGACTCCTATCAACAGGGAAATTTGCTAGAGTTCGTAAATGGAGAAATTTTAACCCTGAAGATAGAAACTAAACTATAGTCTACATAATTCTCAAGTATTTATGACTTTTTTACATCATCTTATAAAACCAGTCAAATTAATCAATATCCTCAAAATAAATTCCGAAGATTATCAAACTTTTAGTTGTAATCATCACTAATTGATAAGTTCTTCTGGTATCGATTTATTCTAATATATAATCTGTTGAAACTTCACTGGCTTTTGTTAAACCATGATGAATAGTTGAGTGGTAAAGGCTTTGATAAGTACCAATTAGCTATGAAACTATTCCTAAGGTTATCTATCGATCACTTCTGACTATCAAACATCACATCGATACAAAGATGGATAGTGGCTAGCAGTGGAATCCAGGCCGCGCGTTTCGTCAGTAGTAGCTACTATCCATCTTTGTTTATAATGCTTGTGAATTAAAGCAATATTGAGGTATACGCACAGTATGCACATATACCAATAACAGACTGATCAATTGCAGTCTTGAACATCAATGGGAAGATTCAAGTAAACAACAATACCAAGTGAATCATATAAATACTTTCTAACAATGAATATTGTATCTACGCACACTATAAAACTAATATTAACACACAAGTTGTAAAATAAACTCTAAAACCAGTTTTTTGTTTACTAACTTTAATTTAACCTAACCCAAATTGAAATTAAACACAATAAAGATAACAAACTGTTATACAAAGGGGAAAAACTGAAAGATTACAAAACTAGTTTACTATTTTAAACAAACAAATTGATCATCATTAGCGAATAGAAACAATTAAACTAGTCATATTTTCAAATAAATTAATATCCACCCCCTCAATGGAGAAGAAATAATTTTTACGTTTTTTTTTGGTAACATTCAATTTTCATTTCTTTTTTTGTTTGTTTGTTTTGTTTTACTGAAAAATTTATGAACCTAAAGATAAATGATTTGTTTAGTTGACTGGTTTCAACAAACATACAGAATAATATTGATTATTATGTTTAGAAAAACAAACAAACCAACGAAAAATTACTTTTGTCAAAATAAATCATTTTAATAGTTGAGATCATGAGTCACTTGAAGCTAGATCACCGTGGAAAACCTGGAAGCATTGAACAGCTGTTTCGTCCTATTGTGGGACTTCTCAGCAGTGTGTATTCACGATCCTGCCTCGTGAGATTACAACCCAGGATCTATCAGTTTCGACATAGAAAATAATAATAGTGTAGTGTTGGCTACTATGTTAAGCCTATATAACTTATTCTAGCTTCTGGATAGGCCAATTTACCCATTTTTCTTGAGTCACGTTTTGACCTTGTTAATTATTCATTTATTAACTTTGACTGTTCTTATAGGGGAGTTTGCGTGTGTACACTTCTTATCTTATTCATCACATACCTGTAGCTTATTTTTGTGTGACTATAAATATTGAATGACACTTGATTAAATGGAGTTAGCTCACACGCTTTCTCCACTGCGCGCCATCTCGCTTCGCTCTCTTTTTTTCGCTTCATTCGTCTGATTGTCTGTCCAGATTAATGAGTGTACAAAATATACGTATTCAAACATCCATTCTCATATTTGAGTTATTTTATTTCGTTATTCACCAACGCGATTTAAGTCGATCATTATATACAAGGCTTGGTGATACGTATATTTCAATAACAATCATGCCTACGATACAATTGGGGTCAGATAAGGGACCACTAAAATAGTATTAAGTCTAGTAACAAAAATTAATCTTCATTTAGTTTTCATGCAAATCACTTCTATAATTTGAATCAAGCATTTATTCACTGTGTTAAAGAAAGTAAGTTACAAGTACACAATCTACTCTGATTAACTTCGGCTTTGATAATCAGTTGGTATCACTAACCTCTTTATAAAATAAACTGTACTTCAAACATGAGTACATGAAATTTTGAATATTTATTGAGTTAGAATAGTAGTATTAAAACATATTCCTATTTATAATGCTACCGGATATATAACTATGTGAACTCATCAGATCCCAACTAAGATAAATGTGATGGATGGTGGCTAACAGTGGAATTCAGGACACGTGTTTCATCTTATTTGGGACTCAATAAGAAGATTCAAACAACCAATATAAAAATGAATTAAGACGAATGTGATTACAAGTTCTTGAATATTAGAATAATTGGTGAGTAGAGGATATAAAATACGTTCAATTTTTAGTCAGTTTTCCTCACAAAGTGGTACATGCTGGAGAACAATTAAAGCACGAGGAATTGTGATAAATCGGGTTCAATCACATTAGCAGTTAAATACATATCATTACTCTCATTAGTACAAATCTACTGACGTAATATGGATGATTATGTGGAATATTGCTTTTTGATCCACTGATTTAATTGTATCGCGCTCATGGCGAGAACACAAGGTCGTGGATTCATAAAACCAGGGAGTTCCAAAATTTATAGTGAATCAGCTATTAAGTTACCTTTTGTTTTCAATCGTTTCCAGGTAGTCATAACTCCATGACAATTACTAACTTCGAATTGTTAATTTCTATAGTTTATAAGTGTTTTGAGTGTAACTAATCAGAGCTAGATTTACAGCATCATACTGATTCATGTGCACAGAGTTGATAACTAATTTTAATGTACTAGATTGACAAACTACGTCCTCTTGCTACAATGATGACTTGATTTTGAAGAAAGTGTTGAGATTCGAGAAGAAAATGTTGGTGAGTTTCAGAATTATTATGAAATAAGATGGAGTAGTCATATCTCTAATTTTCATAGCATTTCATAAGCATAGCTAAATTGACACTTGGTTGGTAAGTAATTCCGTTAAACAATTTAGTTGTTAAATAGTTCAGAAACAAACTGTTCGAATGTTGTTCTCACATCACTTTCTTTACTGACTGTTATCATATACCCACCAACATTTATCAGTTAACTAAGTGTTTGACGTTTACTATAGTTAGTTCTTGTACTTTCTCTATGAGGGATAGAAAGTTTCAGGTTGTAAAATTAGTACTTATTGTTACATTCGCAAGGTAAACGTCAAACACAGTTGAAAATAAACTTTTGTTAATTTCCATTTTTCTTTCAGACAAAATTGTAAGCCTTTGATAACGTTGTCAACCCTGAGGAACAGAATGCTAAAATGATAACCGTTTTCAGTTGACTTATATTGAGAAAATCTGTCATCATGACCTTGATATCTGAAGATTCAAACTTTAAGCAATAAGAAAGCATTTAATGGCACGTAAACCAAAATAACAATATCTAGCTGCTATGATCTATGTGACTAAAGCTTTTAAGCACCTCCTTCAAACGTTACACAATAAATAGTGTTCTCCAGTGACTTTAACATGTATTTTTTGAATATACTTCGCGACCTAAAGAGTTCAACTAGCTTCAAGGTAAATAGCATGATTTCACTTAGAAACTGGTGGAAATCTATGTATAAATCACTTTATTCTTTAGTCTGACTGTCGAAATGCACAAATTAATAACTTCCAAAGGTATGAGTTAGGCAACAAATACAAGGTAGAGAAGAATCACCATAAAAATTGAATTCAAATTTGCCTCCTACACTATTGATTTGAACATTGTAAAAGAATGAGTATCTTGACAAAAGTATGTCACTAGTTTTTAACAGAACAGATGATCAGTATCTATGAAAATCAAACTTACAGTGTTGGGAAATGATGATGAAAATTTAAATAAATTTTCAGATGGGATAAGCTTCTTCATAAACTGATTTGTTTTCATTTTTTGCTTAGTTCTTTTCATCGGACGAGCAGTTTGAATAATCTTTTAACAGAACATATAAAAAGGAATAACGAAGACATTTTGCTTGTAAAAATTAACAAACTGTTATTGATACAAATAATGATGAATGCGTAAATAACGCCTAAACAGTTAACAGATATATATAACTAGGAGAGATTTTCAAATGCGATAGTTTGGTAATATAGTTATGACGATTTATAAAGACAATTTTTTAATTCACTCTTTATCCTCAAGGATCAGGCGAATGTTCTAATGACACAACAGATGACAAATTATTTCATCTTCGATAAGAATGGTTATCCACTTAGATTCGTCGATAAGAACTCAACAACTAGACTACATCCCGAAAAAGCACCGACGGTGCAAAAGAAAACTCTTTTATGAATATGGAATTCAAGGAAGATATGGCTGCCGAACTCCTGGATAAACGGATTGCAAAATCCCTGAATGAAACTTTCTACTCAGCTAAACTCAGTATTGTCTTCTCAAGCCGGCGCACCATTCACGGATGTGTCAAGGACAAACTTCCGCTTTGGGTTACATAGATGTATATCCGTCAGTTTACTTGTATCTGCGGGGCAGGATACATTGGCCTCACAAGATTATCACTTCCTAAACGCATCTCATAACATTAACCAACTTGACTTTAAAAGGCGAATGCAAGATAGCCACCAGTTCAATACAGGAGTATCTTGTCTACTTTGAACATTTTACTCTGAAAGAGTCTTCCTTTAAAATGATCTACATAATCAAAGGAGCTAGAACGAAGGGAGGTCGAATAAGAAAACTTATGCACTACTGAGACGTTTGTGACCCACCAATTCAAGTCCGAACTCTGAGTACAAAAATGATACGTCCAATCTATAATCGTTCTTTTGCCCTAATTCTCTTCTGTAGTATGTTTTGTAATTTCAAACCGTAATCAGTTATTATTATAACCTTTTTCTTCATATATGTCAAGCAGACAATTATCTTTCATAATTCTGACCCGTAAATTATTTTCATCCTTCTATTCTTCTCTAACACCTGATTATTACGTAACCTCTTTTGATATTTGGAGTCTAGAATCAATTTGATGCCATTGTTTCTATCCTTATATAGACATATATATACCACACAACTATAGATACGAATGTACATCTCCAATAAATGATTTCGTTGAAGAGAAAATTTTCTTCACTGAATTCTCTTTATTTTTATTTGATGACACAATGGACTATTTTAATTGTATCACTGTACAGTATTGGGATCTTAACTCTGTCTGCTTATGTGTTAATTCAAATTGAATCTGAATGTGTTCGATTGACAATCAGTTCCATAACAGAATAACAACATGATACTAAGCTAAATATCACCACTATATAAAATGACATATTAAACTTACGGAATTTTCTGTCCATATTGAAGTATCTGGATTACTAGATGAAGGCTGTCGGAGGTTCGATGATTTATTTGAATAAATCGATTTTAAATGAGAATCAGAATTTGTAATACATTGTGGTTGTTTTCGTTCATTTGTAGATTCTTTCAAAAAAGGCGCAGAGAATTTGTGAAATGTAGACAATAAATTAGATTGAATTAATTTTGTTTTGCAATCAATAGAAGAACAATAGTCATTTTCTACAAAATTATTCTCTTTTGAATACATTATTGAATTGAACTGGTGGTTCATGTTTATAGTTTGTGGATTATATAACAAATTCAATGGAGGTTGTTCGTAGGATGAAAGCTAGGCAAATAAAAAAAACAAATTATATATATATATATATATATATATATATATATATATATATATATAAACTCCGCCTGGAGCCCCCCTGTCAGTCAGTTACAACGTAGGACCAGGCACATATATGCATCGGTCCAAGTTGCCATACCTCATTAACACAACAAGATGAACACCGGATTCATAAAAGTAGTTAATTAAAAGGTGGTAATATATAAAAGAACGATTGCAATAAGGATATAGTACAGGAAAAAAGAATTAGTTGGTAGAAAGAAAGATATCAAGCGATTTTAATCTCTTAGTTTAAGGGAAGACAGAGAGTGTATACACCGACTCCATTGTGATTGATTCCGAGCCATGTCACCAAGAGTCTCCAACCATTGGTTACGATAGTCACGCGGACCCCAACCAAGTAGTCTGCATCTACCAACATGGCTCAGACTAGAAGTTAGTGATTTCAAGCACTGATGCCACGTTTTGGTTTGGCCGACCCTAACTTTCTTCCAGCCATCTCCAACACCGGTTAGTATTGCACGTTGTGGTAATCGATGTTCAGGCCCTTCTGTGGCTACTGCCGGTCCCAAGCCGGGATAAAGGAGGGGGTTGGGCATGGGGCTAGCGACCTTATCCAGTAGGAAACTAACTCGCTAAAACACCGCTAACCAGAATATATATAAATTAATCGTCAAGATCATTAGCAGATGAGTGTCTATTGTACAAAACTATAATAACCAATGATTACTAAGAGTTGTAAGTTATAATGCCGGCTGACCCAGTGTTTCAACTGATCAAGTATCCACCATGAGACCTGAAGCTCCTGAGTTAGATCTTCGTCAGGGTTGTACGGGTACATTACTAAGGAGTCCCGTGCTAGAACGAAAGATCTGTCGAGTACCCGCAGAGTTTTAATACTATCCTAACTTGGATCATTCTGTACTAAGTACAACCTATGGATTATAGAAAGTGATAGTGATAAAGGTATACTCCACCCTAAATATCCATCCAGAACACAGAGAAATACAAACTTGAAATAATGAAAATTAAATTATAAAACATGTATTGATTCTTATAATGCTATTTATGTTAATATAATAATACTCTATTTTGTTGCTCTATTTAGAAGAATATTTTAAGCTTATATCGGCACAATAGTTGTGTATCTAGTCAGACGTATTTAATGAGTCTAACAAAACTCCTACTCAATATTTGACTACAGGTTAGTTTAATTTAGAGGAATTTGCCTAACTTCATTATTCATAGAAGTTATTACCATCAATAATCACCCTAATCAAAAAGTTTATGAAATTCAATATTTTTTATCGAGGGAGATAAATGGATATCTGTCAAGGCATGTATTCCGATTAAGAAAATATATGCATTCCTGATGCTTAACCGAGTAAAATATATAAATGGAGAAGATGAACGAAATTGTGTTGGAAACAGTATTGATAAAATGTTTAATGAGAATGCTCACTATTCATATATGTCTTTTTTCAAATGGTTAGACTGAATCAAGGACTATGTGTCTTTACCCTAGATCAAGAATATGATTTACCATGTTGTACATACATCCGTATGAGGTTTTCAAGTCCAAATAATTCTCACCTAAAAAGGTCGAATAATTTTAAGTTGTTTTTTTAATGGTTGAGATCGTGAGTCAATTAAAGCTAGACCACCACAGAAAACCTGGAAGCACTAAAAGGCCGTTTTGTCTTTAAATTGCATCATCTGAAGTCACAGTGAGATACATTAACATTTAGTCATTTGAGCGATGGATGATATAGCCTCGAACAGTACAAGGAGCAACAGTTACTCCGTGATCGCTGATGAGATTAAACTGTCACAAAACCCAAATTCAGATATTCTCAATGATCTTCTTTCGACCATCTTATGCAAAAAGGGAACCGCGAAGTCAAGTCACTTAGGCCAGTTATCATGCGACAGTTTGATCAACAGGATTTGATTAACAGTAAGCACCAGATGATGTAATTCCGTTGCTACACGTTTAAGGTGGTTTCTTATCTATGAATTTAGTTCATGTTGACATATCGTAGGAACAAATGTTTTACATATTTAGACATATGAAAGTTTAATACTGATCTTACTGATACTGTGTCCGCTGAACGTGGATCATAACTACTCAATTTGCCACAATTATCAGACAATATAGAATTTTGGTCTTGTGCAGTTATCATTGATAATGTTTCTATCTGAGCACCCGACTTGTGAAATAATGTTGGTTTACAAAGTATTTTATTATTCAATTCATTGGACAACTGGTCACCAGTAATCTGACTGGATTGGATCAGTGTACGAGAGCGCAATGAATGCGGATAATCTGTAGACATAGTAGTGATATTATGACATGATGATTGAGGATTTGAAGATGAACAGATTTTTGGAACATGCATATCATGCATATGATAACGACATTGCAAATCATTCAATGTTGGCCAATTCCATGCTGAGTTAATTAATAGCCCACATGGAGATCTATTATGTTATAAGAAATAGATAGTTCAGTTTATAATATTACAAACTAAAAAATATGTGCTTAAAACATTCAATCATCCCAACATAATGATTATTTAGTTAATGTTGTAAGTCAACAATAAAATAAGATAATAATGTATTTCAGCCACTAAATAGACCTTTTTTTACTAATAACCTGAGAAAGGATATTTCTTTTGAGCATCTAAATGGAAAAATTTAATAACATACTTTTATACGTTCGGTATTATATTTTGTAGTCTTTTTTAGTAAACGTTCAGTATAAACAAGATTTGATCTTGTTCATTCACGGCTATTCGACTGTTTTATAAATAACACAACCATTTTGTTCTTTAAAGTCAAGCGTATTAACAATACATAGGTGTAAGATTTCTAAAGAGAGAAAATATAACTATACTAAATGACTGCTGAGTATCTTTTTCATTTTTATATCAGTTAGGAGGTATACCATAACTAGTAGAAAAGCTGATTACATGTGACTTTTTCTTAGGGTAGTTAAGCCGTGACTAGCAGTGGAATTTATAACATACACCTCTTCCCATTTAGGATTCGTCAACCGAATGAAAACAGGTTCATTGCAATGAAATGATAAATTCCAGATAACCCTCATAAGATGCATATATGACAAGACGTAGTGATCGAAATTTAGTCCTGAATATCACTAACAGTTTACTTCAAAGCCTTTCCAGTGACAGTAGAAATATATATGAGTTTAATATGGATACACATTGACTATACGGATAGCATGATACACAGAATATATCATGTAAAGATCACAAGGTAGGATCTATTGATAAAGATATGAAAAACTGATATTACACAATAATTTAGTATCTCTTTACTAAATATTGTACCTAAAATCCCTACAATGTAACAGAGTTTCTTGTCAAAATTTGATAAAAATAAGTGAATCCAACTAAGTACTATTTAATCAATGTTTAATCTCTCTCATTAACATCGCCATTATATTATTTCAATTCTCTTGTTACTAATCTTGCCAACTTCCCTTCCTCGTTCTGATATACTAAGGCAACTGGGTTTAACGTTTACTTGCGTCAGATTATACGCTATTTATGGCGGACTGACTGAGAGATTGAAGATTTGGTAAACAAGGTTTTGGATTGTTAAGTAAGTGAATATAATACTAACTTACCAATAATATTCAATAATATGATGTAAGTGAGTGACAGCTGATAGTAAGACCAGTTTACTGACGTAACTAATCAGTTGCATTGTTATTACAACACAAGACAACTGGCCAATAGAATGGGCTCTTTATATCACAGAATAATTTGTTTTCATTCCGTCTTAATGTAAAATCAAACGTGATCAGGTGTCTTAAATGATTGGACAATACTAGTTTTGAAGCTCCAACACCGTTCAACAAGCTAAAGTTTTGAACGTTGTATCAGTCACTAAACAGGTATAAATTCGTACACATGGCTTTAAGTTGCACACTTTGCGTAAAGAGTAGTAATGCTAGTCAGTTAACAAAATCCGAAGCACGTGTAGAGAAATCCAAAATTGAAATTCAGTGATTGGAATTGAAGTGGCTTATACCAACATAGTATTTCTCAAAGTTTATAGACAATAAATAATTGACATGATAAAAAATAAACTGTTTCAACGTTTCAAATCTTACTTTTTAGGGTAAACAAACCATCCTAAAATTATAACTGTAAGGCAGCTTGGTAATAGGGATATTGCAGCAATACCATATGACCAAGACAATGAGTTCTGATCAAGATCTTCTAACCAAGGATGTTTTGCAGCCTTTTCAATTTTCTGTTCAGTGTCTACTCCTACACCCATTGTGATCAAACTAACTAAAGTTGAAAAACCTGAAAAGAAATGGACAAACATTGTAGGATATAATATATCAAACAGTAACTTAGTTAGTTGATGTACAATCATTATGAAATTGATCGGCTGTGACATGAAGTCATATTATGAGCAAGAGTTATTATATGACCCAATTAATTAGTTATATCTTTTAGTTTTACATGCTTAATTGTATAATATGTTAAATGTGTATTCATATCGTAAGTTATTAAAAAATTTATGTTAAATGATACTCAGTTCTATTGTATGGGGTTGAAACTTGAAGAACTACTACAATCATCATCAAAATGTACAGGTAATTATAAACCATTTTCAACTCATGATACTCAATGTTCATTGACCAGATACCATTAGCAACAACCTACTGTGGGATAGAACAAATCAACTTCGAGCTGAAAAAAAATTAGGAAAAGCTGCAGGAGGTAGATAGGGCTGTAGTGGTAAATAAATCCTCAAAATAAATAACTCTGTAAGTCTTTGACATTGATGCTGACCTCACTAGTTGTACTAGAAACACCCTAGTTGAATGCTATCGGTTGCTTTTCTGCACTAGATCACGAGTATGCCATGCTACACATCCTTTTGAACTACTGGCCAGCTTAGACCAAACGCTTTTCGGCATACTGATAGCTTTATAAATATATCTTCTAACCCTTCCATTTCTGACTTCTGATTTGACTGGGTTGATTTACCTCTATCATAAAGGTGTTACATGTAATGACGTTCTCAAACTCCGAATGCCTATAGAATTCTTTAGGACATACATTGCGAAAATCATCAGACTACATCAAAAGACAAGCCACAATTCGGAGAACTGAAGGCAAAAGGAAAGGAAAGGAAGGAAACAAGAACACAATGCGCCGAGAACCGCAAGCGGATATCAAAAGAATGAGTAGCAACTGGAAACAGTTAGAAAAGAGAGCTTGGTCCGTGGCCTATGGTTTTCCACATGGGGTAACAGAAGTAAATAAGCAATACTTAGTTTAATTAACACAAATCTGATTGTAATAAAGCCGTGTAAAAAGTTGTATATTTCTACATTATGCTGACTTTCTTTGAGAGTCAAATAAATCTGTACCATACGTGTTTTGTTTTTGCTACGCGTTATTTTTTAAGCACTGGTACAGCACGATATTAAAACACTCACTGAAGATTATCTAGTGCTATTTCTGGAGATGTGTTACTGTGTTACTTTTCATTAATATACAGTAAAATGCTGACGCTAGTACAATACAGCGGTCAAATGAAATAGCAATCAAGTCATAGCGATTATTGGAAAATCAACAATCATAGGTTTGGCACATAAAACTGAATCCATAATCCAATAGGGAACTGAATACGTATCAGGAATACTCAGAATTGACTTTTGAAACAAATGAAAATGTAATTCAAACTTACAGTTAACTGATAGAGTCACCATTATACACAAGACTGCACGTGACCCGAAAATGGAGACCAAGCCGAGAACTTGAGTCAGAATAACACATTCTGCCAATACATGGGTTGCAAAGCTGCATGTGAAAAAAGTTTGACAGGCAATAAACCAATCTTTAAAGTGGCAAACTTAATTATAAATCAGCATCATACCTCTGAATATGATCGGCCACAGAGTCAAAATTTTCGTATCAAATAAATAGAAACATCCAAAATACATATAATTTCCAGTTTTCTTCGCCATATAGCCTTCAAAACACACCTCCCATAGCCCCAGTCTTACAAAACGATTTTGAGACTGAGGATATCTGGCATACCAGTAAGGCATAACCATTGAGACAAAACCACATGTGAAGCCGAATGTAGTGAATGTGAAACATGTCCAAAACAAAGGAACTTTGTGATGACCTTCCATCATGTTAAGAGTACTTCAACTCATCAACTCATATCTCAGAAACTGTGAATCATTTACCCACGTTTACTGGATCATAATAAATTTCATCAAAGTGACAGATTAAAACAATATTGAAAATGAGTATAAATTACAAGCAATCCCGAGACACTTTACCAATATAAATAATTTTTATAACTGTTATACGAATAAGAGACCACAAATGTCTTCAGATAAAAAGAAATGAGAGTTTAAGTTTTTATAAACTTAGTAGAATGATTTTAAATAGTTTAAAGAGAATGACTGCTTATCGGTCACTTCTTGTTGTCTCAGTATGGTTCTGGGTATATTGTGATCTTTAATGCGGGGTATTCTGACCATGAGCTTCAATATTTTCAGTCTTTTCGAAAGTTGTTTGTGGGTTTTTCGATTTCGTATTCAGAGTGCGTTTGTCTCAGGGTAGTGGGGTTCGTAGAACCAAAATTCATGGCATTACCAGGTAGGAGATAGGCTAGCTACAATTTGAGAAACAATTTCAATTCGAGTGGACTAATATATTTTTGTTAGCAGAAGCAAATCAACAAATAAATAAATCATTCAAGCAAGTGTTCAGATGGAATTATCAGTGCAACAAGTAGATGTATATGATAGTGAATGAGATAGGAAGAATGTGATAATGTGTGGTGGTGATACTGACAAGCATCTGACACCCTGTCAAAACGGAAGATGGCAATCCATGGGTGACTTCATCTTTTCCAGGTCTCTTCTTGAAACTATCCACTCAGTGGGTTGGGAATTATTAAACTTGGGAGTCACCCCAAATGTGCAGAAATATCACAAAGAAGAACAAGGATACCGGTCAAGGTTTGACTTTTGTGTGAAGTTTTTTAGGAGTTACCGGACGAATCACGGTGGTGATATTTTGGTGTGACGTTCTTGTTGAAGTCATTTGGAGTATTGAATATATAGTGTCATTATCAAGTAGCCTATTACTCCTCTCATGTCCTCAGAATACCTCAAATGGCGGTAATCTCAGTGATATATACAAGTGGAAGGCATATAAATTATCGTCACACATCAAAGTATTAAATCCTCAAAGAGTTATCGGATGTACGGCATTCGATAATACTATCTTAAAACTAACAAAACCAGAGGTCGAGAATGGTGGAATAAGAAAATGCATTTGAATTATCAGTTGATAAATTGCTGCGTAATATCTGAGCTGATAATCTTTGGTGGTGTGTTACACAGTTTACCTGGACGTAATTTGTCCGAAAGCCACCAGCTAGTGAAGTATTAAGTAAACTTGCAATGGTTATTCTTGAATAATTATAGAACGATTTAATTGGAAGGACTGTTTTCAGCTACAGCTCACTTTCATGTTACTGTAACCGTGCAGACCCGAAAACGCGACCAGCTAGAAGTTCAAACTCGTGCTTGTTGTCAGTAAACACTTATTTGATAATTTGCTACGTCTAGCGACTTTTAGTTGTCTGTGCCCAAAGTAGTAGATTGTGTAAAGATGAAAAACTATAAACCACAAGAGGATGACTGAGATTTTCATTTTGTTATCCTTTACCGATTGGTATGGAAATGTCAACCATCTACAACCAATTTATAATACGGTTAATTTTGTTTAAACCCTTTTTTACCTTACTTGACAAACAATGTCACTTGTATGGCAACAAATCGTCTGTTTCTTCGGACTGTTATGATCACTAGATCACATGACAAACTAGCTTAAATGGTGATTGTTTAAATATCACTCAGTGATTCATCCTCCTCCTCATGTAAATTTTTACTCAAATCCCATCATTAGTTTTTCTACTGCCTTGATGTGCCCTTATGCGATTTACCTACAAATTTGTTTCTGTATTTGTTAGCACACACATTCACTACTTTGCTCTATATTCGCTTGATGTGCTTAAAGCTTTGTTATCTGCGCTGTCCACTAATAATCTGTAGATTGCGCTTTTCATTGTCTTCTGATTTCGAAATCCCACGGTATTTATATTATAACAGTTATCGAGGTGATTGATTAACTAAGAAAAGCTACTACATGGAAAATGAAGAAAAACTGTTACTGGTTGTTATATGCAGTTATGCTCATGAAACATGTTTGAGCAAAAAGGAAAATTGCACATAAAACGGGCATATAAACTATGAGACAGAAAACACTTTACACACAAGCGTTTGCGTTTTTCGTTCTCTCCGAGAAATCGAAATATAGGAGTATATAAGAAAATTGAATTACTTTGGACAGAACGCGGAAAACAACCGAAACGGGAGAAATGAGCAAAAGTTGATAACGTACAATAGTCCCCTGACTATTCCAGCGCTCATATAATTCTGTCAGAACATAACAAAACAGAACCGTTGGCAGTTATTAGCTACTCTTCCCACAGTCTGTGATTAATTGTGATTTCGCTGTGATTCAGAGGACTGTGTCATTATTAGAGACAAGATCGCTTTTTAAACGCAACTTTCAGCTGGTCACTTTCGACATTGTACGACGTTTTGCTTTCGTTTATAGCATAGCACCTTGGTTCACAATTTTGGAACCTGTTGCGTCCATCAAAGCTCACAGAGAAGGGTCGAAATAATGAATCATGATCTAAAAAGTCATGTTTATACCACAAAAGAAACCGTACGAAAATATCTGATGATCAAGACGTTTTATATACGTGAGTGTTGGTAAAACACTCTCCCACGTATACATCGTTTATGACAGTAATTAGTTGTTTATTCTTAAGTGTGTTTCTTCCTAAATGCCACTCTGACTCGGTTCGTTCTAATTAATCATGTTTATCTTTTTATCACCAGAGGAAATTGTTGCCATACGTCTTTGTTTCTCAGTATTTCATCATATTTGTATATTTTTTACTGATCCTTAGTTTTTCTCTAAGTAATATTATGTCCTTCTGGCTCTTGCATTAGTTTGTCGCTTTTTGATCATTCTTGTCGTAATTGCCCAATTTAATTTGCTCCACTTGTGAAGTATAACGTTTTCTGTTCTATGGAAAAACCTATTATCACTGAAAATTTCGTCCCATCATGAATGAGTTAATATAATCTTTCCATTAGAATAAAAATGCACTCGCTTTTTGAGACGGACATCATTTGTCAAAAAAGGTTCAATATATGAGTTATTGTTTATGGTCTTTCAAGTTGGATTCTGATCATTCAAAATACACAGGTCTGATTTAGTTGGATCTGGTTGTATCGAGTACTCCGCCTAGAGTTATATGTATTGCGCTCAGTACGGCTCTTTAAAAAATATTTCGTGTAATCGAGAAAGGAGGAACGTTTTACAAACAGGTACGAGAAACAAACCTGAGGGCAATCGAATCGCAAACCCAACCAGGATGGCTGTTCAAATGTTAGTGGAGATCGTAAGAAAGGAGTTGTATAAGTATTTAGACGAACACCAGATTCCTTCTAAAAAAAGATTTTAGAACAGGTTTTTCGTGTCCCGTAAATTTATCAGCAGCATATGAAGGTTGTTATGCTCAAGACCTTTGTGGTGGTTCCCATCAAAAGGAGCTTATACAAGATATATCGATACAGTAGGTTAATAATAATACACCAAGACAGTTAACAGTAAAAACCCTAGGTGTCCGTCTGCGAGTAAAACCAAGGGTAACAAAATACAGTTAGGGATACAAATGGTATATTAAACAAACAGATAATAACAGTTATAATGGAATGAATGTTACTTGTAAATGGCCTCGTGAGACAACAACCAGAAATTGAGTTCACTTCATTGACGAATATTACTCTGCAAGTGATTGCACCAACGGCGTAATGAGAAAGACAGAGTCCAATAGTATTATATAATAATAATCCGTGCCAAAAGTCCAATGTAGTGTCGGAAGGCTTAAAAGGATGTTATAACATCATTATAGTCCTCAATCAAAACCGTGGCCAACAAAGCAGAAGAACAAACGGCGTAGATAGCGTTTTATATTTTAACCAACGCGGTAGTAAATTCGTATATTTTTTATCCAAACAATTATCATCGTTTTTTAACAAGTGATACAGAAAAACAACAGATAGTGAATAAAAATGTGGTCACATATAAAGTGTGAAAAATTAGTGAGAAAATACGGTTTTTATTTTGTTGTTACAAAAATCACTGAATATACGTCACCACAATTTCATGATTTACCTTGTAGTAGGCGTTGCGTCGCGGTTGACTATAGTCACCACCACAAATTGACTACGTGCCAGTTACCAGGTTAGATCTTTCCGTAGGCCAAATATCGGAAGGCGGTTGAAGACTTTAGTTAAGATATATTTATTGGCGGTCTCGTGTTATCGGAATAATACCGAGACCGTGTTAAAATCTACAAGCGAGACTACTGAACGTACGAGTTTGTGCGTGGCCACGAAAAACGGAAGAGAGTGTTTCTTGGTACACCTAAATAAACAAGTACAGTAAAGCAATCACTGGTACATTTGGTTATTATAATAATTGTTTCCATTATACCGGTCGCGTTCTCTTCATAAAAGTACGTCACTACAACCTATTGATGTGGCCTTCACTGACTTCAGTAAATCTTTGACAAAGTTTCACATAACTGGCTGTTTTTTGGATTTAGTGATATAAAAATTGGAGACAACGTACTTATTTTGATAAAGGGTTTCCTGGTTGTGCGTCAATAAAGAGTACGGGTGAACTGGAAACCTGTGTTTAGGAGAGCGCCTCTGGGGACAGTTTTGGAACCTGTTTTTGTCTTACCGTATGTAAATGATCTTTCTAGTCTCCTAAAATTATCAGTTTTATCATATGTTGGTCATTTCAAGATGCAAAGTGACAGTTTATAGCTCCGAAATGATACGGGAAAATTATTAAAATGGTCGGGGATGCGGCATTTGCCGATCAATGCTTCCAAGTGCATTATAACTCATGCTGGTGATGAAGGCACAGATACATATAAGGTGAGCAATATTGAGCTTTCTAATTTCCAGACGTCTAGTAACTTAGGAGTCGTCGTTAGCCAAGACTTCGAGTCTAATCTGCATTGCCATGTGATAGCAACCCAAGTTTTTGATCGACATGCAGGTCGATATGTAGAGCCTTCATCCTGAACTTGGGTAT